TGTCCCGGTTGCCCCTCTTCCAGGCCAGCCCTCTGCTGTGGCCAGGGAGTGCAGTGGAGGATGGCCCAAGTGCTTGGGCCCTGCACCCGCATGGGAGACCAGGAAAAGCACCTGGCTCCTGGCTCCTGCCATCGGATCAGCGCGGTGCGCCGGCCGCAGCGCACCGGCCGCGGCGGCCATTGGAGGGTGAACCAACGGCAAAAGGAAGACCTTTCTCTCTGTCTCTCTCTCTCACTGTCCACTCTGCCTGTCAAAAAATAAAAAAAAATAAAATAAAAAATTAAGGAATTCTTGGCCGGCGCCGCAGCTCACTAGGCTAATCCTCCACCTGCGGCGCCGGCACCCCGGGTCGAGTCCTGGTTGGGGCGCTGGTTCTGTCCCAGTTGCTCCTCTTCCAGTCCAGCTCTCTGCTGTGGCCCGGGAGTGCAGTGGAGGATGGCCCAGGTCCTCAGGCCCTGCACCTGCATGGAAGACCAGGAGGAAGCTCTTGGCTCCTGGCTTCTGATCAGTCCAGCACGCTGGCTGCAATGCGCCAGCCGTAGTGGCCACTTGGGGGGTGAACCAATGGAAGGAAGACCTTTCTCTCTGTCTCTCTCACTGTCTAACACTGTCTATCCAAAAAAAATAACACACTAAATGAAAAAAAAAAATTAAGGAATTCTGTTCCATATTGTTTGAATATTTATGATTCATTAAGTCACTGATTCAACTAATATTTACTAAAATTGCTTGGCACCTACTATGTGCCAACTAATTTTCTAGGTGATAGGGTAGTAGCATTAAACAAAACAGTCATGAGTAGGTGTTACTTTTAACAAAAGAAAAAAATATTGGAGGCCAGTAATGTGTTGTAGCAGATTAAGCCACCACTTGTTATGCCAGCATTCCATTTTGGAGCACTGTTCAAGTCCTGGCTGTTAAGCCTTCCAATCCAAATCCCTGGTATTACGCATGGGAAGGCAGTGGAAAATCTCCCTCTCTGTTTCTACCTCTGACACTCTTTCAAATAAAATAAATACATAAATCTTAAGAAAAAAAAAAACAAAAAATACAGTTCAACACTGTGCTGCAGTAGTTAAGCTGCTGCCGGCAGTGCCAGCATCCCATACGGATACCAGTTCTGTCCCAGCTGCTCCACTTCTGAAACAGCTCCCTGCTAATGGCCTGGGAAAACAGTAGAAGATGGCCCAAGTTGCTTGGGACCCTGCCACCCATGTGGGAAACCAGGAGGAAGCTTCTGGCTCCTGGTTTCAGCCTGGCCCAGCCCTGGCCTTTGCAGCCATTACGAGAGAGAACCAGTGGATGGAAGATCTCTATCTCTACCTTTCTTTCAGTGTAACTCTGCCTTTCAAATAAATAACATAAATCTTTACCAAAAAAAATAAAATAAAGTGACCCAGTGAATGGAAGCATTCAGTTTCTGTCTCTGCCTCTCAAATAAATAAAAATTGAAAAAAAAGAGAATGATTTGGGAATGGTGAGAGTAGTTCAAAATTTTGTTACTCTTTTTTCTTTTATTTGACAGGTAGCATTATAGACAGTGAGAGAGAGAGACAGAGAGAGAGAGAAAGGTCTTCCTTCCGTTGGTTCACTCCCCTAATGGCTGCCATGGCCGGTGCTGCACCAATCTGAAGCCAGGAGCCAGTTGCTTCTTCCTGGTCTCCCGTGCGGGTGCAGGGTCCAAGCACTTGGGCCATCCTCCACTGCCCTCCTGGGCCACAGCAGAGAGTTGGACTGGAAGAGGAGCAATAGGGACTAGAACCCAGTCCCTATACGGGATGCTGGTGCCTCAGGTGGAGGATTAACCAAGTGAGCCATGGCGCCGGCGCCTCAGGTGGAGGATTAACCAAGTGAGCCATGGCGCCGGCGCCTCAGGTGGAGGATTAACCAAGTGAGCCATGGCGCCAGCCCCTTGTTACTATTATTTATAAACAATGTAATTTAAATGATCTCTCTCTCACACCTTCCTATCTCAGTAACCCACTGTGTGGAATCCTATAATAAAAGATAAATATTTACTCTATCCATCCAGGAGACTTAGAGGAACACGATCACAGTTATTCTTAGCAATCTTTAACCTCTAGGTTTGAGACCAAGGGAGAATTTCAAAGCAAATGTTTTTAAAGTTTTTAAATGTTCCTCAATCCAGAAACCAACCAAATCCTTGGAGGAACCTCCCTCCTGACCTAGTGGTCTCTGAAGTCTAAAGGACACCTTTTTGCTAACAGAATCAGAGAGGCTGCTAATTTCTGGAGCCTGTCCTATGCCTCCTATGCTTAGATGAAAGTCAGGGAAACCAACATTGGCAGCAAAGTGGAGACCACTGGTAAGAAGAGGTGGAGTCCCATTGGACTCTATACCGACTACAATTTCTCAGAGCCTTGGCACTGACTCAACATCCTAGCAACCAGGCCCAGTCAAATGTGATGATGTTCCATGAAACATAACACAGGAATTTTCCTCTGAATGTCCCAAGGACAGAATGACTCAGCCCCAAATAGGTGACCAAACGAATGCCTGTAGAGGGCACCATAACACCAAATACTTAAAAATGGAGCCATCTACTGTGAGAGCATTTCAGGCATGGAAAGCCAAGACTCTGTGGCAAAAAAAAATATCCTACACGATGATTCTCTGTGAGACCTCAGTGGAAAGAAGGGGCTATCAAAGTGGGATGTACTGGGGACAGTGCTGTGGCGCAGTGGGTCAACACTCTGGCCTGAAGTGCTGGCATCCCATATGGACGCTTGTTCTAGTCCTGGCTGCTCCACTTCCAATACAGCTCTCTGCTGTGACCTGGGAAAGCAGTAGAAGATGGCCCAAGTCCTTAGGCCCTTATATCCACGTGGGAGATCCAGAAGTTCCTGGCTCCTGGCTTAGGACTGGCACAGCTCCGGCCGTTGCAGCCAGTTGGGGACCACGGGATGGAAGACCTCTCTCTCTGCCTCTCCTCTCTCTGTGTGTAATTCTGATTTTCAAATAAATAAATAAATAAATCTTTAAAAAAATAAAAGAGGGATGTACTTTTAGGCCGGTGCTATGGCGAGACCCGGCTGCTCCACTTCCCATCTAGTTCTCTACTATGGCCTGGGAAAACAGTAGAAAATGGCCCAAGTCCTTGGATCCCTGCACCTGTGTGGGAGATCCAGAAGAAGCTCCTGGCTCCTGGCTTCGGTTGGCTTAGCTCTGGCTGTTGCAGCCAACTGGGGAGTGAACCATCAGATGGAAGACCTCTCTCTCTCTCTCTCTCTCTCTGCCTCTCCTCTCTCTGTGTAACTCTGACTTTCGAATAAATAAATACTCACTGTCTAATTCTGCCTGTCAAAATCAATCAATAAATAAATAAAACAAAAAGAACATCCACTTTGCTTATGGCCATGTCCAAATACTGATGGACTCTATGTGCTAAAAGGCTTCCATAGATTTGGCATCCCATGGCAAGAGCCTTGGGTGATCACTGACATCATAAACAAGAGTGTTAATTGCTAAAGGAACAACAGAAGTCACTGTGCACTTACTCCCCATGTAGGACCCCTGTCCTTAATGAACTGTACTATGAAAATTAACTACAAATCTTGTTCTCAAACTGTGCTTTATATGTTGTGTGTGTGTGTGTGGGCACACACTGTTGAAATCAGTGCTTAACCTGGAGTTGGTCCTCTCTATATAAAATGAACCATAAAGCAGAAGGGGATGGGAGAGGGAGAAGGATGTGGGATGGGAGTCAGGGTGGGAGGGTTGGTACGGGGGAAAGAACCAATATATTCCTAGAGTTGTAACTATGAAAAACGCATTCATTAAATAAAAACTTAAAAAAAAAACTTCACAACAACAACAACATGGAGAAATGGAGCTATCTAAAGAAAAAGGAGGGGTCAGTGTTGCGGTGTAGTGAGTTGAGTCACAGCCTGTGACGTCCGCACCATATATGAGTGCCAGTTTGTGTCCCAGCTGCTCCACTCTCTCAATTCAGCTCCCTGCTAATGGCCTGAAAAAAGCAGCAAAAGACGGCCCAAGTACTTGAGCCTTTGCCACCCAGGTGGGAAACCTGGCAATAATCCAGGTTCCTAGCTTTGGCCTGACCCAGTCCTGGCCATTGTGGCCATTTGGGGAGTGAACCAGTGGATGGAAGATCTCTCTCTCTCTAACTCTACCTTTCAAATAAATAAATTAATTTTTTTAAAAAAGTAAAAAATTAAAAGGAGTAAGCAACTTGTCACAAACAGATTTGACTGGAAGGAAAAGGGAGGAGCTACATTATGGCACAGTGAGTTATGCCACTGCCTGCGGCACAGGCATCCCATTCGAGCAATGGTTTGAGCCCCAGCTGCCCCACTTTCAATCTAGCTCCCTGCTGATGCACCTGAGAAAGCAGCTGAAGATGGCCCAAGTTCTTGGGTTCCTGCCACACACATGGGAGACCTAGATGGAGTCCCAGGCTCTTGGCTTCTGTTTGGCCCAGCCCTGGCCACTGTGGCCACTTGGGGAGTGAACCAGTGGATAAGAAAGATCTCTCTCTGTTTCTTCCTCTCTCTGTAACTCTGCCTTTCAAATAAATAAATAAATAAATTTTTAAAAAAGAAAGAAATGAGACTGCTACAATGAGAACAGCCCCAATATATAAAAGGGTGAAGCTATAGCATGAAGGAGAAACATGCCTAAGTACAAGTGATTCGGGACTTCCTTGTTACCAGATCACAAGAATGAGGCAGAGAGTTCAGTCGTCATTATCGACTTTCTGAAGTAGCTGCCACCCAAGAAACCAAGTGGTTAATGGCCTGAGAACCACAGCCTCTCCTACCAACTGCCTCACTGAACTCAGGCCAATAGACAAAGACTTAAAACAGAGTAGACTGCAGAGGACTGAAGGAAAAGCAAACCAGGAGTGTTTTCTCGTCACAATAATGAGGGGTAGGTAGTTGTGAAATATATGTCTGAGCCTAAATGATGGAGAAATACTTCTCTCTCGAGTCAGGAAGACGCAGATCTGCTTCTCTTACCTTAACTGCTATGTTGTTAGACTCAGTAGCACCACTAGTGAAAATGATCTCGCGAGGATCAGCTCCAATGAGAGATGCTACTTGCTGCAAGCAAAGAAACAGATGCATAACATCAGTTCCCACACTATGGGGACATCGGTCTAGGCAAGCGACTCCAGACACGGCTGGGCCAGAGCTCTGGAGGAGAGAGCTCCACAGAAATCTACCAGTGGACCAGGAAGAAGCGCTCTGCGTCCTAGGGTCAGTGACAGCCCATATCCCAGGCTTTTTACCAGCCCCCAATAATACTATTCTGTGTGGTCTTTCAAATGCACTTATTGAGCTCTCACTATGTACAAGTATTGTGTTCATCAACACTTTACCAGTACGGTCTCATTTAACCAGCTCAGCAACCCCAGGGAACAGGAACTATTGCAGTCTCCATTTCATATTTGAGAAACTGAGGTTCAGAGAAATGAGGTAACTTGCCCAAGGCCTTTTAACTAGGAATTGTGGGAAGTAATCAAATGCCTGCAGTCAGACACCAAGGTGCTGTCTGTATCTCTTCCAGAAAGAACCTGAAACCATTTCCACCCACTTCTACCAAGAAGGAAATGCCTCCCACAGGCCACTAGCCCTCTGTCCTCAGAACCTCCCAGACACCTGTGAACTAACCTGGCGAGCGCGTTCCACGGCTGCCTCACTCTCCCAGCCATAAGCGTGTGTCCGGGAGTGTGGGTTCCCATAGTAGTTGACCAGATAAGGAAGCATGGCATCAAGTACCCGCGGGTCCTGGGCACAGCAGAATAGAATCCGTTGTCACCTCAGGGCCTTCTTTCCCACTCCTACATACCCTGCCCACACACTCCTGACCAGTCAGACACTGCCTGCCTGGGGTTTCTCACATTCTTCCACCTCCTCAGATACTAACCAAATACGACCATAATATACTCCCATCTCCCAAGGGGTCCTACCATGCCCTTTCTCTACCATCTCCTCCATGGTCTACAAACACTTCCTTGTTCTGAGGGCTGATGGCTGTTGCTGCAAGTTTTTCCATTCCTGCCAGAAAATGTGACCTCTGAGGGGCTGGGACACGACAGAGCCCAGGCAAACGCCCCTTGTCACACAGAGATGAAAATTTTCATTAACTCTCGAGTGCTGACCATATGCTGGGCTGCTTTGTGTCTTTTAACCGATTTGATACCAGCCCAATTTCACCTAGCTATGAGATGGTACTCCTGCTAACTTCAAGAGCCCATGCTTACTGTAACCACTTCCATCGTGCCTGCCCTGCCTGCCTAAATCCAACGGCAGAGCCACTTCTCGTGGACTGCGGTTTAAGCCTCCTGAGTCCCGGCTGGAGGCACTTGCCGGCACATCTCAAAGGGCTCTCACGTCTACAAGAATCCAGCGATTTCTGGGCACTGTCACTTCCACTGCTCACTTCCTGTGGACAGCCCTGGGGAAAGCTGCCGCTCCCTTCTTACCAGAGGAGTTGTAGCTTGCACATCCATATAGAGAGGTCGCAGCACTGCCTCCACCTCCGGAGCAGCGGCTGTGCCTGAGGGAGCATGGTCCGCCACTGTCAGAAAAACAGAAGGAACGGAGCGGCCAAGTGAGAGCCTGCGGCGGAGGACGCCGGGCTGCCGTCAGGGCGGGAGGTGAAAGCGGGATGAAGGCGGTGGTAAATTCGAGCGATGCCGGGGTCAAACGGGAAGGGAAGGAACACAGCATCAGAGAAGCTCGGGACCCTCTGAAAGGTGGTAAGGGGTAAGGCGGGAGCCGGTTCTTGGAGGAAGATGCTGGGGCGATATTTAAATTCCCTGGTTGGGAGTGAGAAGAACTCTCAAGGGTAAAGCCCCGTAGAAGGAATGCGGAGACAGAGCAGGTGAGGTAGCGGGCTGGGAAGAAGCCGCGGACCGCGTCTCCAAAAGACGGCTGGGGCGGTCCGAAGGACGAGCCTCGTAGGCTGTCCAGGTCTGCTGCGCAGACAGACTGAGCGCGGCGGACGGCAAAGGGCAGAGGCTCTAAGGCAGCCGGGCCGGACAAGGAGGTTCCAGAATATCCAAGTGCGTAGTGGCGCCCAGGGGCAAAGACGCGCGCCTCCAGGGAGAGTGGCAGCGAAGAGCCCAGGAGCGTACCGCGCAGGCGCAGCTCCCGGGTGGGCACCGCAGGCCTCGCCCCTCGGGCCGCGGTCACCGCCGAGGCCGCCCGCCGCCAGGCGGATCGCAGCAGCATGGTCGCGGTGGCCGAGCCCACCACCTGGAGCGGCGGCCGACTTCGGCCCCAGGCTCCCGGAAGTGCTGCCTCGCGCACCGGAAGCGATTCCTCGGGCCACGCGCGCGCCCCGCCCTGCTTCCCGTGTGAGACGTACTGCTGAGCGACCGAGGCCGCGAGCGAGGTGAGGAGGGGCCGTGTGAGCCCCGCGACCGCGCGACGCGGGAGCCCGAACGCGAAGATGGTGGTGGAGGCGGGCAGCGCGCTGATTCCCCTCCTTTGACTTCCCCGAACCCCTGGGCCCGCTCCCCGCCCTGCCCGACTCCCGGGCTGGCGGCTAGGCCCGCACTTTCCTCTCTCGCATTCCGCAGATGCCGGTGGCCGTGGGTCCCTACGGACAATCGCAGCCAAGCTGCTTCGATCGTGTGAAGATGGGCTTTGTGATGGGCTGCGCCGTGGGCATGGCGGCCGGGGCGCTTTTCGGCACCTTCTCCTGTCTCAGGTGAGGAGCGCAGCGGAAATCTCCGGGCGGCGCCGCGGAACCCGCCCGGCCCGCAGCCCCAGTGGCGCGTCCTTCGTTCCAGTTCCCAGCTGTCCTGACCGCGTGCAGCCAGGAGACTCGGGTTCAAGGCGTCCGAGCCTAACAATCTGAGCTCCAGAGTCGTTCGGCTGCTGGTTTGGTGACTTAAAACAAATTGGAGAATTGAGTCTCTTCAAGTGTAGGGTGAGGTCGGTAACACCAGCTCAGGGAGAGGCAGAAATCAAGCACAGCATCTGGCACGTATTAATTAAGTACTCAGTAAATGGTTGCTACTGCTGTTCTGAGTGGGCAAAATGAAACTTGCTAAGCGACTCTACTGTCTTTGAAAACGATGTACAGATGAAGCAGATATACTCCATACTTGAAAGTCACTTTACCACTTGAAAAAGTTATTCCCATTTTCCTACATTACAAACTATCGTTTACTGAGGATTTACTGGTGCTAAACTACTGTAGTTGTCAAAACATTCCCGCAAATGTAATACTAATACAGCCTGTGAATTTGCAGAACAGTCTCCAACCTGGGTCTCTCTCAAATCTAATACCAGAAAACGGTGTCTAAAGATAGGTGTCGTTATTGGATCATATAGAGCCTGAAGTCAAAATCAGCACATGTACTTCACCCCATGTCTGCTGCCACCAGTAAACTACAGGCAGTTGGCCCTAAGAATGTCCTGTAGACCCTAATGGATCTTTCTTCTCATTACCCTAGATGGAAAGAGATCGGATTTAAGATAGAGATGTCTAGATTTTAAGAGGGCTCAATATATTACCAGAGTGGAAACGAACAAATGGTCAAAAATTTTTGTTCCCAAATGTCCCCATCCTGGTTTCCTCCTCAGGATCGGAATGCGGGGTCGCGAGCTGATGGGCGGCATTGGGAAAACCATGATGCAGAGTGGCGGCACGTTTGGCACATTCATGGCCATTGGAATGGGGATCCGTTGCTAACCAGGGCAATGGCTCCCCACTACAGCTACACTTCCCATCAGTCCCAGCGTGTGTACAATAAAATCATCTTTGACTAGCCTGTATCTTAGAGGCATTATTTTACTATTCGATCTGTCCATTATCCAGCATAAAGATCTTGTTAACTGAAGAGGCAGGGTGATATGATAAAGCAGAGTTTGTGTCTTTCTCGAAACCTGATTCTATTAATCCAAACTTTGGAATTTCTAGGATACCCAGCCCCTTCCACTGATCCTATTCACACAATTCAACTCTGTAGCATTGGTGCTATTTTGAAAGTGAAAAATGTTAAGTCTGTGTTCCTCAAAATCAAATGCTGCAAACATTTTGTGATGTAATGTTCATTCTAAAATACAGCTGTTACCCATTATCAGAGAAAATAACCATTATAAAACATTCCAAACATAAACTACTTTTCGAGCTTGCCTACTGGCAAAACTCGTTTTCTTAAAAATTAGATACACATCACCCATCCATGTGTTCACTCTAATGACCACAAACCAACAGTAGACAAGCTGAAGCCACAAACTGAATCTTCATCTCCCAGGACAGAAGGGCCCACCTACTTGAGCCAGTGTACGCCCACAGTGCATTCAGGCATCCCAAGATACGTGTACACAGCACCAAAATCCTAAGATTATTTTCTCCTCTGCCATCAATGACAGATTACAAAAAATTATACTTTGCATGATGGCTGCTCTGTAGTAATGAGACAGGTGTACATGCCAGGGCCACAAGTCTGCTGGATTTTCTAACCTGCCCTGCTCTTGCAATATTTAAGATTTAAAAATTTGGGTTTTGGGGGTATGACCCTTTGCAAATACCTATAGCAACTAGCAGAAAGGATTTCACTAAGCACCCCCAAATTTCATTCATCTGGTGATGAGCCAATTTTGGCCAACCTTTAACAGATAAAATTAAACACTAATGAATGTAATCTCTGCCCTTTACTACCTGACTCAGTTACCAGGAATTATAACCAGGTAGACATATTAAAGCAAGACCAGGGAATAATTCTAAAAATAGACATATTGAAAGAGTGAAGCCACTGTCAAAAAAAACAATGTAGTCTAGCAGTACATTTATTGCTCAATTTGTCTTAATGGGATGCTATGACAGGTCAATGGGACATAGTGTGTTAATTGAATGTCATGAAAATTTCCATGCAATGTTTCTGAAAACACTTCCCTTAACTTTTTGAAGAGCCCTTAAATAGTAATAATGCAGATAAATCAAGTTGGGAAACCAGTCTGAACATAAGCCATTTTGCATTTATAAATAGTCAAACATTTATTTGACAAATATTGGTCAGACCACAACGAATGAATGGCAAATTTGTTGCCTTTCCAGTAAACTTGCCAGTTTTCAATACACTACCTTAAAAGGTACATTGCGAAGTACGTAAGGAATTAACATGAACAGCTTAAGGGCAAGAATTTCCCAATATTGCTAACAATGTTTCCCCAAAGGGCAGCTACTGATTTACTGCCCAAGCGTAATATCCTCAAGTTATTATGACTTTAAAACATTTGAAAAATGAAGATTTCCTGTGGCCTTTTTAAGAGAATTTTATTTGAGTGGTTCTTACAAAGATTGTTGCAATATGAAAGTCATTTGTTTGATAGAAATATCAAGCTGTCTTGTCAAACACACTGAAGTAACCCAAAAATATATTTCAGAGCTCACAGAGCTTAAAAAGAGCAAAGATTATATGCAACCAGACAAAACCTATTTCTGCATTTCCTATTTCTCATTCAGATTGCTTTGTTTACCAGACTGTCACCAAACATCTTCAGGAAATGCAGGGATCATTTTGTTTGGAATCTTAAAGACACACCAGAACACATAATATTTACAAAGAAACTTTTACAGATACATTAATTGAAAAGATACCATCAAGAAATATAATTTTGAAATCTCCCTTTCTTGCCAAATGATCAGAATGCAAGATGAGATGTTATCCGAACAGCCCTTTAGCTGTCTTGAATTTCCACACAATAAATGTGTATTCCAGAAACCTCTGCTAAATCATGAACCAAGTAGCAACATTAGTGAAATGTGAAATGTACTGTTGTGTAAAAAGTTAGGCTTTTGAAACATTAAAAACATTTCATCTCTCTGCCTTTATACAGAAAGCACACTTGTTCCCCTAGAGCTATTCCTATAGACCTTTAATGTAATTTTCTACACAAACATTTTAAAAGGCAGAACAAGAACAGCTTTGTATACAGTGGGATTTGCTAGTTAGGGAGAATGAGCACACTTCATTCCCGTTTACATTTTTATTTTGTCCAAGGTAACAGGAATTGTATACAAATGACAGTAGACCCTTGCCTCTTTATTTTAATCTAAATAAAAGATAACTCAAGATGAATTCTCAAGAAAGAAAAAAAAGCTATGTACATAGGGACTATATCTTCCTTCATCGTCTACTTGGAACCAGTAGTTGTGTTGCTGTCATAGAATCAGGAAAGAGGTTGTGGTAAGTTGGAAGAGGTACATATGCTGCTGTTATCATTTTACCTGTCAAAAGAAACAAATAAGCTGAGTTTAGCATCTCCATATAGTTACAAAAAACCTGAACAATAATAACTCAGAAAAAAGTTGAACTCACCAGCAAACCATCTGCCATGCAATGCATTCACAGCAGCAATAGCTGCAGCAATTGATGGGCATTTCACATACACATTGCCCTAAAACATGAAAACATGGTAAACACATTGCTATTCACAAAAATTCAGGTTTATTCAAACAGCCTATAAAGTAAGTTTGTGTCTATAACCAGAAAATGTTTTATACACTTGCCCTACTGCCTAATATACATAACTACAACTTGAAAAATTCTTTAAGCTCCTAGAATGGTCTTAACCTTATCTTTTGTCTATGACTTACATAGGTAACAAAGAATCAGAATTTCAGGCAGACTTTGAATATTACAGGTGCCTATGGAACCTGCTTAAATAATCTATAAATAGAGTAAAATCTTGATTTACCTGAGCTGAATTCTTGTCAACATAAATATGAATCACTCCTCCATGTTTATTACATTCTTCAATCACATCATCCTTAATCTCTGTATCCCATCCAACTTCTTCTTCTCTGTTAAGAAAGTATCAACCTTCCTTAAAACATTATGCAAATTAACATAAAAGGCATTTTACGCATGTATTTGTTGAACTAAAAATTATTGGTTAAAAGAGTTCTATGTATGACACTGGGGCAAATCAAAATAAAAAATTTGTTGTTAACCAAGTTTATGAATTTTGATTACTCAATATTAACAAATGATTAACAGCTATCTTTCAAACAATAAACTAGCAGGTTATCACCATATCAAAGGATGAAATATAATATGGTGTTGTGAGAAGGTAAGATTCCAGGGTTCTTAAAACAGCAAACCATGAACTTATATAACAAATGTAACCAACAAACTTGCACATTTCAGCGACACTGCACGAAACATAAACTAATCAAAATCAAGCAGAAAACCTGCATTTGAGCTGGAATGGGGACACCGCAACTATGATTCATATAAGCCAGTAAGAGCTTGGATCAATAAACTGCACTGAAATCATTAGGCAGGCATAAAAACTATTGGTAATTTAGAACATCATGCAATAATAAACAAAAATAAAAAGTTTAGTTTTCTACTATTAATTGACACAGCTTAAATTTCTAAACCAAAAGCTGGGAAGAGAGTAAACTGGTGACAGAAATACTGAAAAAGCTTCATAGTAAACTACTTAGAAATAAACAAAGTCAACATGTTATTTAATTCAAATCCCATCTTACAATAAATGAATCTGAAGGAAATAATTAACAATCCACATAAAAACCTTAAAATGATCCCCATTGTTTCACTGTTTTCAAATAGGAAAATATATGGGAATATCCTAAATGTTATCTTGTAATAAGAAGTAAATTATCCCTTCTTTCACAGTATACTCTTGAAATTGACAGAGTTAAGATACTTACGTTTGCGGGTTAAACATGTTAGAGAGTTGGAAACACTGTGTTGCAAGTGGCTGAACAGAGGCAGCAGCAGCTAAAGCTGAGGCTTAAAAAAAAAAAAAAGAAAACGAAAAATTAGTTTCATGGAAAATGTATTAGAGCACCCTTACAAATAATTCAAATTCAAAACCAAAAACCCATACCAAGTGTGTAGGGAAATCAAGACATTTGATTAATCTTACCTAAAAATAAGTACTAGGGTAGTTACGTTTCACTCATTTACCTTTTTCACTAATAACAGTTTTGGTAGTACAACAGTCCGTCAGTATCCTTAGAAACTGGCTCCAGGACTCTGGTGAAACCAAAATCCTTGTATCCTTAAGTTTCTAAAATTAACTAGTATATTACTGGTATGTTATCAACCCACATCCTCTTATGTGGTTATAAACCACTTAAGGACATTTAAGTCACTGACAACTAGAACATACAACAGTGGTGCCGTAAGATTATATTGCTGATGGAATATTATAGTTAATTTATGTAAATACACTATGATTTCACATCAACAAAAAAGGTTGTCAATTTTTACTGTTTTCCTGTACTTAGGGAAAGCACAAGCTCAATGTAAAACATCTCTATTTATAATACTTGAAGCAATGTAAATAGTTGCTATTTTGTACCATTTAGGGAAGAAAAACAAAGAAACAATGACTGTACATGATTAGTACAGACAATTTTTTAAGCAGATACTGACATTTTGAAGTGATTTCAATTTCTAGGTGGGTAACCTCCAGACACAAAGGGCTAACTGTACCGTAATTTTATAGCCAAAAAAAGTATTTGAAACATCCTGAAATTTCAGGCTACTATTTTTAGAAATTTATCTATGACCTAAATTAACTCAGTAAGACAGTATCTAGGGATAGCACCGGGCACAAAAGTTAACACATGGATTAGGACGCCTTACATCCCCCATCACAATGCAGGGGTCAAGTTTGGCTGCTTTCCCTATTGTGGCTTGCTGGAAATGTGCTCCCTGGGAGGCAGAACATGGTTCAGGTTCTGAAGTCCTTGCTACGTATGTGGGAAACCTAGATTGAGTTCTGGGTTCTTAAGTTTCACATGTCCCAGCCTAGACTCCTATGGGTGTTTGGGAAGTGAACCACTGGGTGTGGAAAATGTTCTGTTCCATAAATAAAATAAAAATTTAAAAAGACAAAATCAATACAAATTAATCCTGAAAGATAAAGGATAAAATGGAAAACTGATTTTTTAGAATTGTTCAATCATCTTCCCTGCCAGAAACACAATTCTTTGAAATGCCAAATAAATGAAAACCATTTTTTATTCTAGGCTTCTGCCCTTGAATGGTTTTCCTTTAAATACATACAATAAAAGCGTTTTTAAAATGACATGCATAAAGCCATCCAATCTTTTTAGATTTAAAATCCTAGCAAAATTAAATCCTATTAAGAAGCTGAATTAACATCTAATAAAGGCTTATGACTTTTTTACCACAATGCAACAAACACAAGAGCAGCCTATTACAGTTTAAAAATAATGGACAGTATGATTTAAAACACATACTAGTTGGACGTTCCTCCAGTTTATTATGGTTTGCGCAAGTATTATCAATGGCTGTACTATCAAAACTCACCGTAATCATATTATTTGACCAAATTTCATTCCAATGCATAACAAAAAAGCTAAGGATAAAACAATGCATTAGAAAGTATAATCAAATGAATCACCTAAGCATCAGATATATTCCACTGAACAGAAAGTAGGACTCAGTGTGAAATACATCATAAAACAATGATTAGAATTAAAAGTGCTCTTGCTGCTTTGTATTTCCTTTTAATCAACAAGTGCTTTTATCCATTAAGCATTATTTTAAATTAAAAGAAAAATGCTCAAACAACTAACTTGTATTAGAATCTACTGGGAAAAGCTGAAAAGATACAAGAGTGCTTGTATTATAATTAAGAACAAAACTGAATGACACTCTGTATAGCTTGTAAAACAAATGAGATGTTAAAAATTATCGAGAGCTTAAATCATTCCTCTTAACTTTGATCATAAACTAAGAATACAAAAAATATCAAGAAAATGTATTATGACATTCTGGTACAACCTTGACCAATGAAGAATCAAATCAAAAAAAAAAAAGGAAAATCATCTACTTTTAAAATGTGTTAGCAAAAGCAGTATTGAGCCCAACCATCTCATAAGCTGTAAAATTAAAATACATATTTAAATCAACTGTAAAGGACACATGCATGGCATCTTTCATATAGAATCAATTCCTGAAACAATTTTAAATGGATCACCATAAAAGATGGTTCCAGAGTTGTAGAGCAAAATGCTATCTTATCATGTGGCATATACTTATTAAATAAGTAAAACCATGCAAATGAGGCTGGCATTGTACTGTAGCAGCTAAAGTTGCCACCTGCAACACTGGCATCCAAAATTAGCAATTAATTGTTAGAGAGAGTACTGGCTACTCCACTTCTGATCCAGCTCTATGCAAATACACTTGGGAAAGTCCAAGTGCCTGGGCCTGTGCCACCAATATAGAAGCTCAAGATGAAGTTCTGGGTTCAATGATTGCAGTCATTTGAGGGGTGAACCAGAAGATGGAAGATCTCTCTCTTTCCCCCTCTCTGTAACTCTGCGTTTCAAATGAAATCTTTAAAAAACAATTCTACTATATTCTAATTTTGTATAGTAATTTGTTTCAACCTGAAGAATGCATGCAAGTTAGGAATGGATGAAGCTCTTTTTTTTTTTTTCATACAAATCACTGAAATTAAGAATACTACTAACAGTAAAAAGTTCATGGTCTTGTAGCACTGTCATCATCTTACATTAAATGCAGTCCAGATTTCTTAACCTGAAGGACTCCTCTACTACAAAGACAATACTCCATTTGTTACTTTTAAATAAGTCAGGTAGTCAAGAAATATGAAAATGCTGAAAATTTTAAGCAAGCTAAAGCAAAAACAAAGAAAATGGACAGTTTTCATTTGTCCATTAGCAATCTGGACTAAGTGTGTAGAAATAGTTTACTCTGTTTTAATGTATCCTATTATGTACCATTCTGTCAAAATCAGGAGAAAATAAGTCTTGCTACATTTCACTCTATTTGAAAGATAAAAAAAATAATGTATAAACAATTGAACTCACCTTCAGTCTGTTGGGAAAGTCTTGTTTGCAAATCTATAACAAAAGAGAATTCTACAGCTCAGTGCAGGAACAATGAAGAGCCTCAACTAACAGGGTAAATGTCAAGAAAGCATTAATAAAAGAGGACTATCACAACAGGGTTTATTAAAATGAACTTATTATCAAAACCTGGCAGCAAAACCTCCTTCCCCATTCCTCATTGACAAAGTTCTGGGGCCTTTTGTTCCCTCCTGCATCCTAAGGAAGCTCTTCCTATTCCTACCACTCTAGCAGTCTCAAATTTAGTCAAGCACAGTACTCTTCAGTTGGGAATAATGGGAAATGGGGAGGGGGGGGCATACCAGAAAGAAAATGTGTAAAAAACCCTGATCTTGAGAATTCAATTCCAAGTACTTGAGAAGGTAGTTTTTGCTTAAATGAAAGGATTTGATCCTTTGCTATGCTACAAATAAAATCACTACAATAACACTACAATAAAAAAGCTAGTATGTTCAAATGATCTCCCAACTTAGTAGATAATCAGGGATGACACTGTTCCAATCCAACACATACATATCGTTTTAACGTTTAACCTATCAAGGCTAACATAGAAGATGACAACTGATTAAAGTTTTCTTGTACAGTCTTAAATTCCAATCAGAAAGAAATAAAGTCAATAGGGTTTTCTTAACACTCTTATGCAGTGCAAGAAAAATATATTATGTTAAAAAATAAACAGTGATTTTTAACATGTATTTTCTCATAATCACAAGCATTTCCATAGGGAAAGGCATCTTACAGGAAAACTCCTATGGAGTGAAAGGGTAGCAAATCTGAATTAACAAAATGCCACATTGCTACTAATGCTGAATTGACATTAAAATGCAGATTACAATGTAGAAATTCTTTAGCTTCAGTAACCGAATTTTCATTAAAATGTGCTTGAATTCCATCTGAGTTTTTTGCTGGAGACAGAAAATGATAATGAAACATGGGCAAAAATGAAGAGAGATCTGCAGCCCAAGTTATATGCGGATATATATACTTAATACCTGGGGGTTTTCTAGGTGCTCAAAACTGGCATCTCAAGGAACTGAAGAAATTTAACTGGTGTATACAGAAGTAACTTCAAGATATGATCATTGTAACACTGCCAATAAACTAAATTATAACCCAATTTGTTTTTTCCTAAAATGGGAAAAAATGTATGGGTACCAGACATCCATGCTATTTTTAGTAATTATCAATCCAATCATAATTCAAAAAATTATTTTCAAGGTTATTTCAGACAAATTAGGAAACAAAGCATGGATTTTATAAAGAATTGTAACCTATCTTAGAAAGTCTATTAATAAACGATAAATAAATATGAATAAAATGGTGACCCATCGATGGTTCCTAACAACAGCATTAATAGACTTTTGGTATTTAAGAGCCTCAAGCACAGTTAATACTTAGCAATCTGAAATGGTTTTAAATGGAAACCATATGGAAAAATAATTACAAATATGCACTTAAAATTTTATTAATAATCTATATGAATATATAGAATTTTAGTTGTGCACAATACACACAATGTATTCAGGAAGTTGGACAGTAGAAGAAATAATGGCTGATGGGATTAAGAAAGGTTAACCCTGAAAAACCTTCAATTACCTAAAGATAATGTTTATGAAAAACAAGCTAGGGCCTAACATTGACTATTTAGAAATGAATCCTATTTCACTATATCAATTCCCTAAAAGCAAGGAACAGATCTTGATAACAGGACTCTATAGTGCTTGGTAATCAAACATTTGCTCATTATTAAGAATGGCCTGGGAGCGGGAGATAGACCTAACCATTGAAGAAGCCAGTTAGAAAGATGGAATGCCTTGGTTTTACTCCAGACTGTAGCTACTTGCTCCTGGAGACCTTGGAAAAAAACTGTTATCAACTCAAGTGCTTGAATTCCTAGCACGCATGAGGAGACTTGGATAATTTTAACTCCTGACATTGGATGGGGACTGATCTCAATTAACGTTGAAGCTGATATGATTCTCCTCATAAAAATACACTAGCATTGTTGTCAGGAACTCTAACTGCATATTAAATTTCAAGTCCTATAATCTGACAGGAAGATTAGACCAGAGGCCCATCTTCTGATTAATCACTAAAAGGCAAACAATAAAAATCCCTCAAATAATAGTATTTTAAAAGCAGAAATGATCCTCTGAAGAGATGGGCTCCTAATTTCAACAGAAACCATCAAATAACCACAAAAATGGTTTCTTGTGTTCATATTATGGTTTTTAGATATAAAAAACATATATCTACATTCATTTACAAAGATTCACTTTGTAACTAAGTTCAAAGGACTGATTTGGAACACGAAGTGTCATAATTTCCTAAGATAAGTATGTCCTGTCATTCAAGATCCAAAGTACACAAAGCTCCTTTTACCTGTTCTAAAATCATGTCACTATTATTCCAGATTTTAATCCTACCCTATTTCCTAGATTTAGTTCAAGTTTATGATTCATAAAGTCAAATTTCAAGTAATTAACAAGGGACTGACACCTAGTTTGATAATTAACTTCTGCACCTCTTTCTCTACCTCATGTAAGAACCACATTCTCCAACTAGAAACCTATTAAGCAAAGATTTTTTCTCTACACTCACTACTGCAACTGTATTAAAGCCTAATTTAAGGCCTCTGGACATTTTCAAAGCTCAAATATTACAAAGAAACAATATCAACCCTGTGGTTCTTTAACAAAAGTAGAGAATTTTAAAAGAGCTAACCTTAACACTAGAAATTTACATGCTAAAAATAACCTGAAACTCTAGAACTTTATGTTAAAAGTACTTGATGAATTGAATTCTCAGTTAAGTCCTTTTAAATGCAAAAATTTGGTAAATTTTCGAATTAGATGAAAAATCAATGATTCCAAATTAGAAAAGATTCAATTCCTACCTGCCACAGCACCAAATGCCAAAGAGCCACTCATTTGCAGAGCCTGCTGTGCTGCTGGTGGAATCTGCAAACCTGTACCTGAAAAAGAATGATCTCAAGATTCTTACTAAGTTAATAACAGAGAATCCAAATTATCTGGGTGCTTAGTGTTAAGCAGCAAAAGAAAATACAAGAGGAAAAAACAAAACTAATTTACTCCTAAGTAAGAGGATACAAATGAAGCAAGAAGAATCCTGTAACTTATGTGATAGTTTAAAACTTTATCAACAGATTAAATTCCAACTTTAATTCAGAGCCTTCATCCATACAAACACATGTACAGATGATGGGGAACAGCAATTGAATAGGTCACAAAAATTTTGCTATTTCTGAATGGGTATTTGCTATAGAGCTTGGGAAACTGCTGGAAATGCCCACATTCCAGAATACAGTCTGAGTTCAAGTCATGGCTTTACTTCAGATTCTGGCTTCCTGCTGATGTACACTTTGGGAAGAGGATAACTGGCCCCAGGTAGGCCTGTGGAACAAAAGGATTGAGTTCCAGGGCCAGCATAGTGGCTCAGCGGGTTAATGCCCTGGCCTGAAGTGTTGGCATCCCATATGGGCACCTGTTTGGAACCCGGCTGCTCCACACTGATCCGGCTCTCAGCTATGGCCTAGGAAAGCAGTAGAAGATGGCCCAAGTGCTTGGGCCCCTGCACCCGCATGGGAGACCCAGAAGAAGCTCCTGGCTCCTGGCTCCGGTTTGGCACAGCTCCCACTGTTGCGGTCAATTCGGGAGTGAACCATTGGATGGAAGACCTCCCTCTCTGCCTCTCTTTTCTCTTGAGTTCCAGGCTCCTAGCCACAGTCTGGCACAGCTTTGGCTGTAGCAAGCATTTTCCGAGTCAAACAGTGGATCAAAGATTTTCTTTCAAACAATATGATAAAGAGAATAAAAAAGAAAAGAAAAAATACACATTCAACATTAGGAAAAACTTACCCTCTGCAAGTCTTGCCATTAATTGGAGACGACCAGTTGTTCCCAAGTCAATTCCAGTCCTTTCCAGTTCATCACTGTCCAAAAATGAACTAGCACTGGAAGCATCAGTTCGCTCAGTAACATGGCCAACTTTCATTGGTCTTCCTGCTAGCTCAAATCCATTAAGTTGTTCCAAAGCCTTTTTGGCACATTCTGAGTCAGAAAACTGTAATTATGCAGAAAAGGGGGAATATAGTATATTAGTTCTCAAAACATACACACACAAAAAAATATTTATGTGGGAGACTGGGATGGAGATCCAAGGCACCTGTTTGTAGTTTGGCCCACTACCAACTAAAGTTGGAGTGAGCCAATGATTTGAAAAGATCTACATTTCAAATAAAATGAAAGTAAATTTTTAAAACATAAAATATTAACACACTGAGTAATTATAATGTAGTACTAAAAGTAACACAACCTACATTATACAGACCATATGCTCCTCAAAACTTGTTGTAATGAGATAGTTTTAAATGACAGCTGAAAAAATAGAGAACCCTGGGGTTTGATGCTGTAGTGCAGTGGGTTAAAACCACTGCTTGCAACCATGGGCATAGTGTATTCAGAGTGTCATTTCAAGTACCTGCCACTCTGCTTCTGATCCAGCCCTCTGCTTTTGAGCCAGGGAAGGAAACAAAAGATAGACCAAGTTATAGCACTCAACACCCACCAGAGCTATAGATGGGGTTCCTGGTTCTCCTGGCTTCAACCTGGCCCAACCAAGGTTATTACAGCCATTTTTTTTTGTGAACCAATGGATGGATGATATCAGACACTTTGCTTCTCAAATAAATATATATTCAAATTATGGAATCCTATTATAATATATGAAGCCTTAATTGCAGTGCCTTGCATTCCCATATGGGTGCCACTTCAAGCCCAGGCTACTTCACTTCTGATCCACCTCCTAATGGTCTGGAATAGCCATGGAACATGGTCCAAGTGCTTGGTTCCCTGCACCCATGTGGTGTCCTTGCTCCAGGCTTCAGATTCATGGAGCTTCAGCCACTGCAGCCATTTGAGGGGTGAACCAGTAGTTAGAAGTCCTCTCTGTGTATTATTTATAAATAAATAAATAAATATATTTTTCAAAGTCATTGCTGGGGCCGGCACTATGGTGTAGTGGGCAAAGCCACAGCCTGCACTGTTAGCATGTCATATGGGCTCCAGTTCAAGCCCTAGCAGTTCCACTTCTGATCCAGCTCTCTGCTATGGCCTGGAAAAAGCAGTGGAAATGGTCAAATAAATCAATTTAAAAAAAAAAAAATTAAAGGCACGGGGCTAGTGTTGTGGCATAGCTGATTAAGCTACCAACTGTGACACCAGCATCCTATATGGGCGCTGGTTCTAGTCCCAGCTGATCTACTTCCCATCCAGCACCCTGCTAATTTGTCTGGGAAAGCAGCAGAGGATGGCCCAAGTGCTGGGATCCTGGCATTCACATAGGAGAAAACAGATGAGGCTTGGCCATTGTGGCCTAATGGAGAGCATGTCACCAGGTAGTAGCTGCTACCTCATAATCCCACTAGGATTATACTTCCCTGGCTAGCCATAAACACTTTCAATGAGACAATCTTGGTCTTACTTTCTTGGAATATATAATAAAAAAGGGTTTTAAATAAAATAAACTGTCAAGAGAACTTCATTGGACTGACAAGAATGCACTATACCCATAATACACGTCATAATGGGAGGGGCAATACAAGCTCACATGCATACTACACTGCGCTTTTAAGTCCCAGCTCTGCTCCCAAATCTTCTTCCTGCTAATGTATACCCTTCAAAGGCAATTATGACTGTTCAAGTCGCTGAGTCCAGACACTGACATGGGAGTTTCTGATGGATTTCCTGATTTCCATCTTTAGCCTGGCCCAATGCCAACTACTGTAGCCATTTGGGGAACTAACAAGCAAAGAGGAAAGCTCTCTCAAATACTTTTTAAAAATGGGAGGGAGTAAAACAAAATCTGCCCTAAAAGAGTCAGAGGCTTAATTAAATCTTCACCTATATGAACAGCTGGCTAAGAAAAATGGCTGTGTAAAAAAAACATAAAAATACAACAAATGTTAAAAGGAAAAAAGTAAACATTCAGGTTTGATCAATCAGTAAAGCCTAGTACGAAATGGTTATAAATGATAAACTTGAGGCCAGCGCCGCGGCTCACTAGGCTAATCCTCCACCTAGCGGCGCCGGCACACCGGGTTCTAGTCCCGGTCGGGGCGCTGGATTCTGTCCAGGTTGCCCCTCTTGCAGGCCAGCTCTTTGCTGTGGCCAGGGAGTGCAGTGGAGAATGGCCCAAGTGCTTGGGCGCTGCACCCCATGGGAGACCAGGATAAGTGCCTGGCTCCTGCCATCGGATCAGCGTGGTGCGCCAGCCGCGGCAGCCATTGGAGGGGGAACCAACGGCAAAGCAGGACCTTTCTCTCTGTCTCTCTCTCTCACTGTCCACTCTGCCTGTCAAAAAAAGAAAAGTAAAAATAAAAAAAATGACAAACTTGAAAGTATTAAACTTGAACGTATTATGTATCCCTCCTCCTTCCAACCCAAATGATGAGCAGTATCATTTATTATGTCACTTTATGAAAAATTTTCAAATCACATTTAACAAGGTAATTACTTACTGTAATAAATCCATATCCCTTTGATCGACCTGTTTCACTATCCATCATGAGCTGTATACTTTCAATCTAAAATAACAAAACATAATTATTATGCAAATCAAAAGAAACTAAGATTATTTAACTCTTGAGACAGTTTGAAAAATCTTCTCCTGTCCTCAAAATTTATCAAATCCTTTCCCCAAAAACCTAAAAGTTGACACTACCTTATAAGCAAGAAGTTATAGTCAGGAACAAGAAAAAAATGAAGACTATGTTGTGCCTGATATATGAGCCACTGAAAAGTAGGTATTTATTGACCTATTTTATTATACAATTATCACAAACAAAATGAATCATCCTCCAGTGGCAGAAGCTGAAACCAATAGCCAGTACCACAGTGCCTATACAAGCCCTGGTTGTCTCTGCTTGTTTCCACTAAAAATGTACCCACGAAAACAGCAGATGATGGACACAGTGCTTGGCCCCTGCCATCCAAATGGACTGGACTAATTGTGGATAATTTAGTCATTTCGGGAGTGAACCAGTGAAGTGATTATCAGTCTTTCAGCCTTACAAATGAATAAGGCATTTTTGTTTCATTTTCATTATGCTAAAAATATCAAAAATTGAAAATTTTATCAAGACACAGGAAACTGAAAAATGTTGGGAGTAAACTGGAAAACCTGGATTGAGTGGTAGCTGTACACTGTAAGTCAATGCTCACTTTGGTTGTTTTATTGTTATACAATGTCAAGAAAGCTATCAATAAAGTACAAAAACATAAAATATAAGCACTCCCTTCAACATAAATGTTGTATCTATGGTGACTGGCCAATTATCCTAATGTGACTTCACTGTTTATCTGAATGGAAATGCACTCTACCCTATACATAAAAATTAGTGTAAGTAAGCACATAAAACAAAGAGCCTATTTTCTATTTCACTTTCTAGAAGTTTCAATTTTTTTCATTTTGTCATCACAAAATGTATAACATGTACATTATTTTATACTTCCAATATTTATTTTATACTCCAAATAAACAACACACCCACATCTCAACACCCTAAGTTAGAGTATTATTCACTCTTTAGCAGTCTCATTAAAAAGCTGAGAAGTCACAAAATACTAAAAAGCATATCCTTGGGCTGCAGGGGAGGGGGTTCAGCACTGGGGCGAAGTGGGTATAAACCGCCACCTGCAAGTGCCAGCATCTCAAATGGGCGCCAATTCGAGTCTCGGCAGTTCCACTTCCAATTTAGCTCTCTGCTATGGCCTGGGAAAGAAGTAGAAGATGGCCCGAGTCCTTGGGTGTGGAGAGCAACCGAGACTAGACTAAATTATTGGAACTGCTAAGACTAATTCTATGCATCTGATCTCCCATCATATGGCGCTGAGAATAAACAACTTCTGCACAGCTGCCTCACCAATTCGACTAATAGGCTGCAGGAGCTGATCCTGCTCCTGATTGGAGAGCAGCGTGCTCGGCGTGTGGGCAGCAGAGTTGGGATTGGTGGAAGAGGACTATAAAGGAGGAGAGAGACAACATGCACTAGGAACATCTGAGAGGAACATCTGAGCATCCCCTTAGTTCTCTAAGGCGGTGTGCCGCCCCTCCGCGGAAACGGGGGTGGGGGGTGGAGGCAGCAAACCCGGGAAGGGCCGGGCAAAAAGAACAGCGCAGGGTCCGGTGTCGTTCCTCCGCGAGTGGGGGAGCGACACTTGGGTCCCTGCACCCATTTGGCAGACCCAGAAGAAGTTTCAGTCTCCTTTGGATCAGCACAGCTCCAGCTGTTGTAGCCAACTGGGGAGTGAACCAGTGGATGTAAGAACTCTCTCTACCTCTCCTTCTTTCTGTGTAACTCTTTCAAATAAATTGATAAATAAATTAATAAATCTTTAAAACAAAAGCATATCCTAGGGTAATTTGTAGAGTAGCAGTGGATAATGTGTAGTAATTACCATGATTTTTATTCATGGGCATACAATGACTCTTTATTAGCCGGTCCTGTGGCAGAATAAAACCCTTGCATAAAACACCAGCATGCAATATAAGTTCAAGTTTGAATCCTGGCTGCTCCACTTCCAATTAGGCTCCCTACTAATGCACCTAGAAAAAGAATAGAAAATGAACCAAGTGCCTGTGTCTCTGCACCCACATGGGAGACCCAGAAGAAGCTTCTGGCTCTTGGCTTTGGATTGGCCCAGCCCCGGCCGTTGTGATCATTTGGGGAGTGACCCAGTGGATGATCAGTCTCTAACTCTGCCATTCAAACAGTAAACAACAGTAAGTTTAAAACAGTAAGTCTTTAAACCATAACAGCCTACTACTAACATTTATTCCAAAATAACATTATCTACAGGGCACCATTATGGCACAAAGGATAAGCCGCCACCAGGAACACCAGCAGCACATATCACAGCACTGGTCTGAGTCCTAGCTACTAGCTTCTCTGCTTCTCATTTAGCTCCCTGCTAACAGGTCTAATTAAGCCGCAGAAGACAGCCCTAGTACTTTCACCCCTGCCACCTAAATGGGAGACCAGGATGGAGATTTTGGCTCCTGGCTTGGTTTTGGATAAGCCCCAGCCATTCCAGCATTTAGGGAATGAATCACTGGATGGAATACTTCTTTCTCCCTCTCTTCACTGTGACTTACAGATAAAAAAAAACAAAACATCTATTCTAAAAAATGACCACAAACACTCCTTTAGTAGAGAAGCATCTCTATACACTTTTAAAATTTGACTGAAAAAACATTCCTGGGGTCGGAGCTGTGGCACAAGACATTAAGCTACCACCTGCAGTGCTGACATACCATTTGGGTGCTTGTTCAAGTTTCAGCCGTTGACACATCCTATCCAACTCCCTGCTAATGCACCTGGGAAAGGAGCAGAAGGTGGCCCAAATGTTTGGGTTCTGGCACCCAGGAAGGAGACCCAGAAGAGCCTCCTGCCTCCTGGACACAGGCACAGCTCCAACAGATGCAGCCATTTAAGGAGTAACTAGCAGGTTGAAGATTTTTGTCTCTCCCTCTCTATAAATTCTTCCAAACAAAATAAGTCTTAAAACACCAAAGTTAGCATCTGTTGCTGAGTATAGAACACACTTATTTGTATGGATTTTTTAAGACAATGGATTCTATTATGCATTTCATTAAAACATTATAACTATCAAATCCTCTATCTTTAAATAAATTGTTTTAGGTAACCTACACTCTTAAGTTGACACTCAAATTTCAGAAACCACTGCCTCTACCTCCCTTCTAAATACTATAAACTTGGGCCGGCATTATTGCTTAATCAGTTAAACTGCCACCGGCAAGCCAGCATCCTATATGGGCATGGGTTAGAGCTTTGGCTGCTAAACTTTTGCTCTAGCTCCCTGCTAATGCACCTGGGAAAGCCAGGGAAGATGGCCCAATGGCATGTGGGAGACTCAGATGAAGCTACTGGCTTCTGCCTGCCCACCCTGGCCATTTGGGAAATCAATCACACGGATGAAAGATCTCATGGAAAGACGCTGTTATGCAGTTATATTTGGTTCAAAAACCAACTAATGATCCATGAAAAGAACTTGGACTTACCCTTCCAAAGGGCTCAAAGATCCCCCTAAGCATGTCTTCTGTTATGTTAAAGTGCAGGGAGCCCACATAAAGTCTCATAGGTCCAGCACTTCCCTTTTGTAAATTGTTTGCCATTGCTGCAGCTCTGTTCTTTTCCGCCTACAAATAAAATATGGCAAAATGTACAATGCTTAAAGTCAGTACAAAGCAAAGATTAAACTCCATTCACACATTGGTTTGCAAATGATATGAAAGGTCAGAGGTTAATATCCACTAAAGTCAAAACCATAAGGAAAACTTTTCTAAGAAACCACTTACATGTGGCATGTAAAAAAGGTAAATTCATACTAAGTACCTTCAAGGTTACCAAGTGCTGGGAGTAGGCGTTACAGCTGACTGGGTAGTTTTTCTTGGGATGAGAAAGTTTTGAGGATATCCTAGATAGTCATCTTATTTGTATAAAACATCGTGAAGGTAACTAATGGCACTGAATTGTACAACTAGTAAGAGTTAACACTTTATCACAGATTGCTTAATGAAACTGCTCATCCAATTCAACTCACTGAAATTAACTATTCCCTTTCATATCAGTCAGTAGGCCAACTGACTGACAAGCTGTAACCAGTTTGGGTACTCTTGGGCCAGAACATATAAACTGATCACCAAGCAAACCAATTGGCTTATTAGTACTTGATCTGACTCTCATTAACAAATGAGAAGTTGCCAATTAATATCCTAACGTAAGTCACTTTCCTGAAACGAATTCAGGCAGTCATCTATTCCAATGCTGATGGCATGCTAGCTTGTAGCCAGGCTGCTCCACTTCTAATCCAGCTCCCCGCTAATGCCTGGGAAAAACAGCTTAAGATGCCGCAAGTGTTTGGGCCTTGTCATCCATATGGAAGACCAAGATTTTGACTCCCAGTTTCATTTTGGCCTTCTACTGACCATTGTAGTCATGTGGGGAGTGAACCAGCAGACAGAAGATATGTTACTACCTATTTAACTGTGACTTTCAAGTCCTGGCTGGTCCACTACCAATCTGCTTCTCTATGGCCTAGGAAAGTAATAGAAGATGGCCCAAGTAGTTGAGCCCCTACACCCGCATGGGAGACCAGGAAGAAGCTCCTCTCCTGGCTTGGGATCGGCAAAGCTGCAGGCGCTGCAGCTGATTGGGGTTAAACCAGGGAATCAAAGGCCTCTCTCTCTTCCTCTCCTCCTTGCTGCATAACTCTGACTTTCAAATAAAAATAAATCTTTAGGAAAAAAAAAAAAAACCTTCATTTCAACCTTTAATGGCACCATTCATTCAACAGTTTTGTCCTCCTCGTAACAAGAATTTAATTAATGATTATTTTCATATTCAGTTTACATTGAAGCACATGACCATACCAAGTACTCTCAAATTTTTTGTCCGGCACTGTGGCTTAGCGGGTAAAGTCGCCACTTGCGGTGCCAGCATCCCATATGGGTGCGGATTCGAGTCCCAGCTAGCTGCTCCACTTCTGATCTGGCTCTCTGAGGTGTTCTGGGAAAGCAGTAGATGGCCCAGAAGGGGCTCGGGGCTCCTGGCTCCTGGCTTCAGATTGGCGCAGCTCTGGCAGCTGTGGCCAATTGAAGAGTGAACCAGCGAATGCAAGACCTCCCTCCCTCACTCTCCCTCTCCCTCTCTGTCCCTCCTCCTTTAAAAAAACATCTAAGCATAATAGTATCTTAACATATGATAAAAGGCTAACAAAGTCGCCAAAGATGGCCCACCTATCTAGGGCCCTGTAACTCACATGGGAGATATAGACTTAACTCCTACCTTTGGCCTGGTGCAGCCCTGCCTGTTGAAACCTGGGGATTAACTCAGTGGGTAAAAGATCGGTCTCTCTCCCTGGCCTATAATTCCTGATTTTCAAATAAAAGGCCATGGTAACACACAGCTTAGATGGTCACTGAAAGTAAATATCAAGACACCTCTGATTATAAAAGGCTTATATAACTTTAAAATTAGTCTGACGAAGCAACCAGATTTAGAAGCAATTGTAAAGTATTTCAGTGGTGTCAAAGCAATCAGCATTCTTGTTAGTGCATTGTGCACACTGTATCAGTAACACTAAGCTGGCTATTTTTGAAAACCCAAGTTATTAGAAATCAGTAATGTATTTAAGAGATGTAAGTAATCATCAAGAATTCCAAGAATACTTTCATAATTTATAGTCAATAGAATGATGAGTTCCAACTTCTCTATACCTGAGATCTAAAATATGCTGGTTCATTTCATTTTTCCAAGGCAATACTCAGGTCACCCACTTTGGGGTTTCAGTTAAGTATAACCCAATCACGTTTTGGGATATTCCAAACAGAAGATGTCTTCCAAACAGGATTGCAGCATCTCAAATTTGAAGAAACATTAAGGGGCCAGCTCTGTGGCTGAACCTTCACCCGAAGCGCTGGAATCCCACATGGGCTCAGGTTCTAGTCCTGGCTGCTCTTCTTCAGATCCAGCTCTCTGCTATGTCATGGGAAAGTGGGAAGATGGCCCAAGTGCTTTGGGCCCCTGTACCCACGTGCAAGATCCAGAAGACGCCCCTGGCTTCTGATCAGCCCAGTTCCAGCCATGGGGAGTGAACCAGCAGATGGAAGACCTTTCTCTCTGTCTCTCCCTGTTAATGCTACCTCTCAAACAAATAAATTTTAAAAATCTTAAAAAAACCAATTTATTAGAACTCATGGCTGTTTAAGCTATTCTTTATATTATGCATGTTACAAAATGGTAAAAATATTAAGCATTATTCTATTTATAAAGTACAGGAAAAATATACCCTTAGATACTTCTACAACTTAACAGATTACTGCAAATCAATAAAGTTCTAGACCAAGTTCTCAGGTTTTATTTTTCTTGAAGAAGGTATTTAAAACTTCTATAAAAATTGGAACAGGATGGTTGAGAACACATTACTTGCAAGTTGTAACTCAGAAGTTATAAACCAAAAATAGGTCTTGAGAACATATGCCTCAAGGTAACAAGCAGTGATTAACTTTTATGATGCACTGAAATCCCTAACACTACACCAACCTAAGCACTATCAACAATCAAATTCTTAACCCAGAATTTACCTGTGATGCCTGTACTATGATTGGCACTCCTAAAACTCGTTGACCAGTTAATCCTATTGCTAGAGGCACTGAGCTCACATCGACAAACTCCACATAAGCAATTCCTTTGGAACGTCTTGAATTTCTATCAGAAATCATTCTCACATCTCGAACCTGGAAAGAAACACACCCTTTAATGAACAGTCCTATTTGTAAACATATACTGTAACTCATGTCTATTTATAATTATTTCAAAAATATACACAAGGCTCATTAACGATAGAGCAAAGGACAAAACCATTAAAAAATCTTTAGGGGCCAGTGCTATGGTGTGGTTGGTGAGCCTCTGCCTGTGGCACTGCCATCCCATGCACCAACTGATTGAGTCCTGGCTGTTCTACTCCCAATCTAGCTCTCTACTGGTGGCCTGGAAAAGCACCAAAAAAATGGCCCAAGTGCCTGGGCCATAAAACCCCAGTGATAGCAGAAGCTCCTGATTTCAGATCAAATGCCAATTGTTGGGGTCAACGCTGGGTGCCGGTTCTAGGCCCGGCTGCTCCTCTTCCAATCCAGTTCTCTGCTAAGGCCTGGGACAGCAGTAGAAGATGGCCCAAGTCCTTGGGCCCCTGCACCGATTTGGGAGAGCTGGAAGAAGCTCATGGCTCCTGGCTTCAGATCGATGCAGCTCTGGACAATGTGGCCATCTGGGGAGCGAACCAGTGGATGGAAGACCTCTCTCTCTGTCTCTACTACTCTCTGTACGTAACTCTTTCAGATAAATAAAATAAATCTTAAAAAAAAAAAAAAAGCCAACTGTTGTGGCATTTAGGGAGTGAATAAGCAGATCAAAGAGCTCTGTCTCTAGCTCTATCTGCATCTCAAACTCTCAAAAAAAATTTTCAGTTGAGACTATTTTTTCAAAATATAACAAACACAAGCATTTAATATACTTCAACTATAAATAAAAAAGTAAACAATCTCACATAAACATATGGTATTCTCAGCAAACAAGAGTAACTTTGTAGTTTAGGCTTTATCATTTTCAGTTCAAAGTTATCACTTTTGAAAAATAATGGTAAAAGCTACCAAAGCTTAATCAGTTACTTTTGCTCCACTGAAAGAACATATTTTTCCCCAAGCCAACACATATTCATTATACGGGACACTAATGGGAACAGATATTAAAACTGGAAGTCTCCAGACAGGACTCCTTTGGTCTTTTCAGATTCAACAGTCCATAGAAACTGTTAAATCACTTATTAAAGAAAATCTGTTGCCAGACATTAAGTTCTGAAATGATTATCACATCCCAAACAGGTTCAGGATTCTGAAGTATCAAAAGTAAACCTTTACGAACTAACTGCAACTTCATAAACATTAACTCGAGGCCAAAACAAAAAAACCTACACATTAATGTAAAACTTACACAATGTAAGAACACATCTCTGTATAACTTAGCAAATGTTCTGTAAATATTTAGCAATTACTGAGTCTCATACTAAGCCAAAGACTAATGGTAATTTAAACCACAACAAGATCACCTAACTTATTAGTATTACATAAACTTCCAGGCTGGGGGCAGGGCCTGTGGCACCATGGGTTTGGGCACTGTATTGATCCACCTGCTCCACTTCTTATTCAGCTCCCTGCTAATGTGGCCAAGAAAAGCAGTAAAGGGTGACCAAAGTGCTTGGTCCTATGCACCCAGGTGAGAGACCCAGAAGAAGCTGCTGGCTTCAGCTTGGCCCAGCTCTGGCTATTCTGACCATTTGGGAAGTGATCCATCTGATGGAAGACTTGTCTCTCCTGCTCTCTCTGCAACTCTACTTGGGTTTTGCTACCTGGCTATGGCTCCTAACTCCTGTTTCCTACTAATGTAGACCTTGGCAAGCACTGGTGATAATACAAGGTATTCTGGGCTCCTACCACCGACATGGAAGATGTGTTTGCAAGTTTCTTGGCACCCCATTGCATCACTTGCCCAGCCCCAGCTGTTAAGAGCATTTGTGTGTGAAAGATACTTTAAGTAGATTTCTAACACAATCTCTTAGGGTTATTGCTGTGCCATCAAAGGTTCAGCCCTCATCTGCATATGGGCACTGGTTCTGGTCCCAAATGCTCCACTTCCAGTCCAGCTCCCTAGTGGGTCTGGGAAAGCAAGTGAAGATAAAGATAGCCCAAGCCCTTGGGCCCTGCACCCACGTGGGAAACAGAGAAGAAGCTCCAGTCGCCTGGCTTCAGATTGGCCCAATCTCAGCCATTTGGAGAGCGAACCAGCAGATGGAAGCACTCGTTGTCTGTCAGCCCCCTTCTCTGCTATCTCTGCCTTTCAAATAAATATATCTTTTTTAAAAAAAAATCTCTTTTGATGATATGCAGTTAACATTAATCAGCCTAAAAACAATTAACTTCCTGATTATGAAAAAACTGAATCATTGGCAAAAGCTAATTCTTTTACTCAAATACATGATTTGACATTTAAATGTTTTCTCTAATGTCTTCTCTTCTTTATCTGCCATACTGACAACTCCTAAAGCACTGATTTCCACCTACTTGACCTCCCTACACAGACTAATATTACCTTTCCTACTGTGGAGAAGAATTCTTCCAAATCCCGTGGTCGAATTCTTGCTGCTAATTGCATGCAGAAAACTGTCCGTGCATCTCTTTCCTCAGGAGTTAGATTATCAATAGGCTCTCTAATAGGAGTAGAGAACACAATGTCAATTTTACTTATTCTTTTAATTTAAATACACACTTTCAGAAAGCACTTTTAATTTAACTAGCCTGTCAATATTTCCATGCCCATCTTCACCAAAAATGTATAAAAATGTCCATATATAAAAACTTAACATGATCCAGTACCTTCAGAGTGATAGTATACTAAATATCCTAACCACATCTTATTCAGTATCAGGACTTTTAAAAGTTCTTTAGTTTTGCAATCCTGAAAATGGTATTCTACACAATAAATGGCCAATGAGAACTCTGACAGTTTTAATAGTCATGCAAAATAACCCAAGCATTAATGCCAGAAAGATCTAAAATGGGTGAAATGGATGCTTCCCCAACAGAATCATTAAAAAACCATAAAGCTCAAATAATTTTGAAAGAACAGGCACTTGTCATAGCAATTAACATGCCACTTGGTATGCCCCCATCCCATCCTGGAGTGTCTGGACTGAAATCTTGGCTCCACTCCAGTTAAGAGCTTATTGTTAATACATACCCCTGGAGACAGTAGTAAGTGACAGATGGCTGAAGTACTTGGTCACCTGAGACCCATGTGAGAAACCTGGATTGAGTTCCCAGGTACTGGCTTCAGCCTGTCCCAGCCCCCCGGCTGCCAACTGTAGTCATTTAGAGAGTAAATCACCAAACAGGAGCTCTGTCTCACTGCCTCTCAAATAACAACATTTAGAAAGACACAAAAATAAACTTGAAAGTAGAATCACAGAGGCAGGCACTAAGGCATAGTAGGCTAAGCCTCCCCCTGTGGCAACTGCATCACACATGGGCGCCAATACATGTCCCAGCTGCTCCTCTTTGAATCCACCTCTCTGTGGCCTGGGAAAGCAGCAAAAGATGATTCAAGTGCTTGGGTTCCTGCACCCACATGGGAGACCCAAAAGAAGCTCCTGGCTCCTGGCTTCAGATCGGCTCAAGTCTGGCCAATTGAGCCATTTGGGGAGATAGCCAGCAGATGGAAGACCTCTGTGTCTAAAATCTGCCTCTCAAATAAATAAGTAAAGCCTTTAATAAAAATAAAAACAGGTAAAATCACAAATTTTACAAATTTGATTCTAAGAATTTTAGCTTATTTTACTATTTGAGATATGACAGTAAGCTGGTTGCTAATTATTTTCTTGGTGGGGTAGGCACCATGTCATAGCATGCTGCTCCACTTCCATTCCAGCTCCTGCTAAAGGCCTGGTAAATTCAAAGGAAGATGGCCCAGTGGTACTCGCCAGATGGAGCTTACTGCACAAGCCCAGCAGTTGCAGTAAAGCAGTGGATGTAAAATCTATCTCTACATCTCTGTCAAATTACATGAAATAAAACTTAAAAAAATTTACAACTTGGTAAGACTCCACAAATGTCATATCTGAATTAGTTTACTAATGGTTAAACTAACACAGGGACAGTAATCACAACCATCAAAAATCAAAACCAGGAAAACCATTATAAATAGCAGTATTCAATTTACTCATTCTTACAGACCTTACAGACAGGGTGCATTTCAAAACGTATAAAGGGAATTCAATTGCTTAAAGAAAAAGTTAAAAGCTGATATCTAATTTTCACTTCACACAAAAAGTATCTATTAACAGCACCTGTGTTACAAAATAAATGTTGACGTTCTATGTTAATCTTTAAAAATGTACACTTAATATGCTTTTTTATTTTCTGGGCATTCTCAGGAATGTTTTCATAAAAAAAAAGCAAAAAAATTTGCTACACCTACAAAACTATGGTACAAATCTGGAGAAATCAGCAGGTAACTGTAAAAAATGTATTATGGGTACCACTGCTATGACATGGCGGGTTAAACCATTGTCTGCAGTTCAGACAACCCACATGGGCACCGGTTCAAGTCCCAGCTGCTTCACTTCCAGTCCAGTTCTCTGCTAATGTGCCTGGAAAAGCAGCAGATGGCCCAAGCGCTTGGGCCACTGTACCTAAAAGGCAGACCGGAAAAAGCTCTTGACTCCTAGGTTTGTCCTGGCTACTGGGGCCATTTGGGAAGTGAACCAGTAGATGGAAGATCTCTCTGGTTTTCCCTTTTTCTCCGTAATTCTTTCAAATAATTCAATCAATATTTTAAAAAATTTTACGGTTAAACACATAAAAACTGAACTAGATTCAGCAAATGAGGACAATAAGTGGATTTTCTTATGAAACCCACTCTTTAGAGTAAAACATCTGTTGCAGAGCTTTCAAATTCATAGATTTTCATGAAATACACAATTAAACTATACCAAATTAACATATAAAACTCATTCTTAAAAGCTGGTCTTTATATAGAGGTGACCAGTGAAAAATAATGCTATTGTATGTCAAAATGTTTCCAACACACAATTGACGACCTGGACAAATCAGTCTTATTTTTATTTAGAAAGAAAGTTAATTCATGGAAACATTCAAGAACAGAATAATACTAAGGTAATTCACTCAGGCTTTTGAGATAAAATACTTTTTCAGGCAAGAGCGAAATGGTTGATTGTTAGTACTTCTCTACATAAGGCAATTTCAATCAACCCATGATTTATTAATTCTGAAGCCAGTCTATTAAGTTTCCCATAGAGCTATTAAAATTTTATTTAACAGGGAAATAAGATTAGCTACTGTACATTAAAAATGGCAATTTGTGCTTTTTAAATTACATGAAATTAATGTTATTGAAAACTCAGTAGAAATTCACACTGATTTAAAAGTACTGTAGTACTGCAAAAGAAAGCAAAAGCAAAATTTAGTATTGTCAAAATTACTGTTATTAAATTCAGCAATGGCATGAACTGCAGAAGTTTAGAAGAAAAAAAAAATAGGGACACAGCTACCTCACAGGGCTCTTGTCTTTTCTGAATGGACTTTTGCTTCGAGAACGTCGTCTGCTGCAAAGTTAAAGAGTTTCAGAAGTTACCCAAACAAGTAAAATCAAATTAGTTCCTTTAAAAACAATTTAAGCAATTCAGAAGTATGTTTAAAAACCTTAATTTGATGCTATGAGGCAACCCAATCTTTCCTCGGATGGCACTGTTAAATTTTGGTCCGGAGCTAAAAAGGAAACACAAAATTACACTAGTTACAGGTTTAGGGTCTTGCTAAGATCGCGTTCATGCGCTCTCCAGCAAGTTTAACATTGTTTAGGCTGCTTGTTTTCCACCTCAATTATGAAGAGGAAACAAAAAAAAAAACTTTTTTTCTTAGCTCTATCCCAGGCAATCTGCCCTCATGTTTATCCAACCTGGACCACTGAGAGGTGCCAAGACCAAAGGTTACAGCCTCAAATTTTTTAATTCTGAAAATGTTCACACCCATTTTCAATTTATAGTTTTCCTTTTTAATTATATATTTATGAATATATTTGAAACGGAAAGAAAACACATATACACAAAATCGTGGAAAGAAATTCTTCTCCACTTTGCTCACATCAGTAGTTAACTACTGTTAACAAGCTGGTGTGTATTCCTACAGGTTCTTCCTGAGGAATATTATGTGTAAATACAATACGTAAGTTTTGTTTCCTTCTTTGAGCTTCTTTTTAAAAATAAAGGATATAATTTTTAGTCATGAAAATTTCTCTGTATGAGCAATTCTTAGTCCAAATAACATTACATTTAGCATAGTATATTTCAGTTCTTTGTGGTAAAATATTCCATAGTATGTATGTGAAAGTAATTCACCAACTGTTCAGTAAATTTTTTGTTACTGTTTTCAGATCACAAAGAAAACTATTCTCTACCAGTAGTTTGTGCCTTTTAAAAAAAGTCTAATTTAAAGCCATCAGTCAGATATCCCTCAGTGCTCATCTGAACCCTATTCAAGAAGGTTAGTAAAATGAATCGAGCCTATGATCCACATTTGAATTAATTTTCACGGAATCTACAATCACCTACATCATCCAAACAGTTCTAAATAAAATTATTTTCTATTAGATGTGTCATTTGCAATCCAGACTAACAGTGAGAATTAAGGATATACATTTACCTAATAAAAGTTTAAGTTAGAACCTCTATGGTATAATCTCTCCTTTAATTAAAAAGTAGTCTGTTATAGCCTTAAAAAAATCACCTGTAACTTAACACAAAAACTAGGTAATTTTTAAACAATTTTTAATAGTCCAAGCAGGACCCCAAGCAGACTTCCAAGCAATCTACACTCCTTTGCAATTCATTTGGGCAAGAAGATTTAACAGTCCCATTTCTGAATCCAGTACATCTTAATAAATTAAGATAAGGAAAACTTTTTGATATAATATCCAGATAAGCATTATGGTTCCATTTTCAGCTCTCAAAATTTCTGAACTAAGCAGTTAAACCGCATTGTGGCACAGTGAGTTTAGATGCTGCCTGCAATGCTGGCCTCCCATATGGGCACCTGTTCAAGTTTCAACTACTCCACTGTGATCCAGTTCCCTGCTAATAGGCCAGGGAAAGAGACATAAGATGGACAGAGTGCTTGTGCCCCTGCCACCCACATGGGAGACCTTGCCAAGTTCCAGGCTCCTGTCATTGCGGCGTGAACCAATAGATGGAAAATCTTGCTTTCTACCTCTCACTCCTCTCTTTCGAATTAATACATCTTAGAAACAAAGTTTAACAAACAGGAGTTCAAGTCAGAATCAGAACTCAAAGTGTTACTAACTCCAAAGGATTTAAATTCATACCCAAATACTTCATGAATATAAGTATTCTTAATTATTTATATTCTTTTCTCAATTATGACTCTAGTTTATCTTCAAGTTATTTCCTTCACATAAGATGAGGAAATGAGCCAGCGTTGTGGCGTTGCAGGTAAAGCCACTGCCTGCAATGCTGACAACCCACACTGGTGCTGGTCCGGGCTGCTCTACTTCCAATCCAGCTCCCTGCTAATGGGCCTGAGAAAAGCAGCAGCAAGTGGCCCAATTCCCTGGGCCTTGCTACCCACATGAGACCTTGGAAGAAGCTCCTGGCTTCATAGCAGCAGCCATCTGGGGAATAAACCAGCAGATGAGGATCTCTCTCCCTGCCTCTTTCAAATAAAAAAATGATCAAGTAACTTGCCCAAGTGAATGAGCAAAGTCGGATCCAGTTGTTATCTCTAAAAATCTATCCTCAACTGTTTAAAATGTACCCTTTGCACACAGTTCACAACAATGTGCTAATATAATCATAAAGCATCAAGGACTACTAAATTTGATCCTTGCTTTAGGTAGTCTCTAATATTGTTTTAATGATCACAATGAACTTGCTTTCAATTTGTTTAAATGAGCACTCCCAAATTTCTATAGTGATTTAAAAAGTATAAATTTTAGTTTGGAATATCGATTATCAAAGAATATTAAATACAAAGCATGTGATGAGCTCAAGGGGGCATACACAACAAATTCATAAAAGGTCTGTCATTTCAGCTGAAAACAGCCACAGACAAGATTTCATATGTAATTTCCTCCTAGCACTCTAATGCTAGTTTGAAATGGCATACAATTAACATTTTCAGATGGAGTAACAGGAAATAAGCTGCATGCCTAGTAAAGGAAAGTATTTGTCTACCATGTATTTTTCTCTTTATTAGTCTTCAAAGGCCAAGATCCTTTAGCTTTTAATACCTTCAAAGCAATCATCAAAATTTTTTATAATTCAAGTCCTTGAAAATAATTTGCTGTTGGAATACTCAAGAAATGACCCTCAAACCAAAATCAAAATTAAAAGTTACATACTAAGGGCTTCTGTAGCGGCCTCGGAATCTGCGATCTCGACTTCTTGATCGACTCCTTCTCCTTTCTTTGCTTCTACTTCGCTTCCTTTCACGGCTTTTGCTCTTTTTCCTTTCTCTATCTCTGCTTCTCTTCCGTTCCTTACTTTTGCTTCTCTTCCGTTCATGACTACGACTCCTGCTCTTGCTTTTTTTCCTCCTGAAGAAAAAAAAATCCACAATTATCTTGTTGGCTGAAGAACTCACCAAAATACACTTCCTTTTTTATGGTCACAAATTATTTTTTGTAACTTAATTTGTAAACTTATTCGGTATTTTTGAGATCATACAATGGTTCACAACCATGTCAGGAAAAACAATTTCTTCGTATGGTAAACAATATTCCATCTTTGCTTTACTGTTACTGAAAAGATGAGCAGAGAATTATTTGATATTTGAGACTCATCCATTAAAAGCATGATTTACTGTAAGTTGCTACAGTTAAAGAGGAACAAGACTCGTTGGCGGATATAAATCAAAACCTAAACTTTTAAATGAAGTTTGACTGTCATGTATCAAGCCAACAAGCATTACTGCAACCCACAAGGTACATTAATAAAATCGAAGTTACAACAGATCACATTCACATTGAAGTACTAGTGCTGGTTCATAAATAGTTTTCATTAAACTGATTTAGTTGAAGTCAATTTTGACCCAATTCACACATGAAAGTATTTTTATACTTCAAACAGACATCAACATTTTGATTTTTAAAAATAACAAAGAACACTATGAACTAATGAATAAAATCTATTTTCACACTTCTAGATTTGAAAGTGACCATTTCAAATATTTTCTGTAAAGTTATAACGAATATACAAGAAAAGAGTATGCTATTTTTAAGCCTGTTTATCACAAGCCTGTGAAGTGTAATAAGAAAACAAAAATCAACTTAACCTTCATGAATCTTAATAAAATCTCACTCTGAAAAGTGCAAGAGTCCATCAGACCTTTCTGTTCATTTCTGTATTCACCCACTCAATTAAATCTTACAATCTGTACCTCTGTATAATCACCCAAATTTTAGAGGTGCCTTCAGATATTTTAAATTCAAAAAAATCTCAAAATAAACTTATTCTACTAAAATATAAATTTGTACTGGTTTCAAAATTAAACATTTTGACAACTCTACATCATTACTTGGAAATTTGTTTAGTCCTTATCAAAACAAAAGTTAATACAAGAACAATGGAGGTCTGCCTCAGAGAACCTGTAAACAGGTCATCTTAGAGTGCATTGAAAAGAGAAAATGAAGACACCCACCTTCTGGAATCTTGAAACCCACACTCCAATCACAAGGAGATGTAGAGCTTTCCAAGGAGGCAGAAACTTTGTCTAAAATTTCAAGATAATCCACCTGACTGTCAGAAATGTACATGCTAGGTAGCACATGACAGAAAATTAGGCTACACTCATTATTTATATAGAAGTCACCAAAGTAATGCCAGAAAGGCAACAGACAACAATCCAACTTTCTTGCCTGAAAAATCTGACTCTCTCTTTAACACAAGAATTCTGTGAGCCAGTAAGTCCTAAAATTCAATTAGGAAACTGGGTAAAATGCAGCTTGATTCCCCCATACACAAAAAAAAACAAAGTTTTTGCTCTGTTCATAGTCATACAAGAGAGGGAGCCAACCTCCCTATTCACTCATAAGCTCCATAAATTATTCTGCCAAAATTGGAAAATAATTTTTTTTGGAAAGTAATTTTAACTTAAGGTTTTTGTAGTACTTTTTGTAAACAAGCTCCCACTCACATCTGAAGGCAACCCCACATAGATAAACAGCAATATACTAACACATTCAGAAAATACATTTTGCTTAAAAGCCCAGACAAAAACTGAAGGGCGCATGAAACCAGTACTTCTCTATAACAAATTCCAGCTTCATAAAACATTAACAGTTATCAAAATCCTCACTAATAGTCAAATCCTGTTACAACTTAAAAGGGACTTTCCAAAGTCTTTAGTGGCAGTGGAAATTTGTACTGAACATCATTGAAGTAAATGGTCCACTGGGCTGGGCCTTTGGACTTTTTGGTTATATGGCCTCTGCTGTAAAGGTGTTTTGCTATAACTGGATTTGACGAAGATCTAAATTTTAAATGCAAAGTATTCTGGAAAATAAGAAAAAAAATACAAAAGTCATTTATCCCAAAATTTATAGATAATCCACACCACAGTAGCCAATATTATTTCAACTGTGTTACTTTTTTGTCATCCTTTTTTTTGAGTAATTCTCTAAAGAGCTTAACAGAATCAATGCTGGTTTAGAGGTTGCAGAATTGGAAACACAAGTTAACACTCCCATGAAGGCAACCTCAGGTACTTAAAAAGCATACTTTGAAGTCTTACCAAACTCACAGCTCTTCAGAAAACAGCCTAATTGATGATTTGTGTTATGTCAAACTTAGTTCCTTTTACTATAAGAGTATGTTGAGAATCAGCATTACAATTTTTTAAGAGAAAACATTTACTACCTTACAAACTGTATCTCAACATTTCAATGGCTTTTAAGACAATGGAGTTTTGGAGTGAAAAATGGAAAATGGCATGTCCTTTGGTTAAGAAGCATAATACACTTTTACTTGTTACATATTTTATCTACCCCTAAATGTAACTTTTCTTCTGGATTGCAAATTTTCTTCAGAAAAATGGGTGGCAAGTTTCCTGACTGAACAGGGAACCATTTAGTCAGTTATAATTGAGAATGGTTAGTGTGACAGAAACATTTTGAACACATTTTAAAAGATTACCGCAAACAGTATCTAGAAAGTATCTTCCCTTCCACAAAGAACCTTAGGACTAATTACTGTAAATTGTCCATTTCTTAGTCTCACAGAACTCAGTATTAGATAAGTACCACCGAACACCACTCCAGAAGAGTTTGATGCTCAATTTCCCTATTAAAGCCAGGTATCCCTAATGCACTTAGATGCAGAATAAAACAAGTACAAACTGGAGATGTTATTCGTGGCAAGGGATGGTATCAGAGCATGGTTTATAAAAGTTCTGTATGCAAAAATATATAACCTCATTTTTTTGGCATTTAAGTTGAAAACTATATTCAGCCACCAGGCCTGCCATTGATATTGGACAATTTAAGCCCATCTATGCGGGTATCTCTGTCTTGCAGGGTTCTCTTTTGATTACAGAATGACTTCAGTAAAAAGTCTGAAGTAAGGTAACATACCCTACAAGGACTGGATGGTTTGCCTCAGACCGTAATTCAAGAGTAAACCCAATCTGATCCCACATCTCCTGCTAACTATAACTATTAGTAAAGAACCACAGCAGAAAAAAGGACATAATTATTTAAAATTTATTACATTATCTTAGGATTATTGTAAAAATACTGGCTCCATGAAGGCCCTGAACAATTCAATCTGACAATTTTCCTCTTCTTCTTTATGAAATTAAAACAACCTACCTAATACAGTTGTTGTAAGCATGACTGAGGTACTTACTATAATGCACTTTTTAAGGAGAACAGTTTTTATAAGGAGAACAATTTTACGCTTATAACATGACCATACTGTAAAGATTCACTAACCTTAGAGCTGAAAGCAAACTTCAGTATCTGAGAGGATCCAAACTCTAAAAGTGGATCGATTTTAAACTGTTCACAAATGTATTGCTGTACTAATTTATCAGAGTTCCTATTATAGGCTACTCATCTAAACCACATTAATCCCCTAAATAGTCATAAATTTAAGAACTCACAGTCTATTAAGTCTATATTAGAATTCAAAAACAAAAGCCACATTAAATACAGAAGCTTGCTATCACCTTACTACAAAAAAAAAAAAAAGCCTTTAAGCAGCAAGGACAAGAAATAATTCACAACTTTGAGTCCTTCAGCAATTTAGGGCAAACACTTCCCATGGCCTGATTATAGACCTTTTCTTTCCAGCAGTATGATATATATACTATAGTTTTACTGCTAACATTAAATTTAAGCCAAAGTTTAAATTTTAAAAAGATAAACTCTAATCCAAGGAATCCTACCAGATTAGCATGATGGTTTTTGAGGGAAAGGTGTCCAGAGGACCCTGAAATCCAGGCAATAAAAAACTCAAGGAAGGAGTTTCTCATTCCAAAAGGAAAAGAACCAATTTTTTTAAAGAGGCAAAAAGGAAAGCTTCAGAAAGAATCTCAGTTGATACTTTTGCCACAGAAACACAATGTAAAATTCCAAGCACATAATGTTCACCCCTCTCCCCAGCCCCTTCTTGAAACTTACTTTTTGCTACGTTCTTCATGGCCGTTAGCACTGCTCAACTTGTTCTCATCCTAAGCAGGGTTGATAGAAGAACATCATGAGGACGAAGTGGTAACATTTCAAGTTGTCAAAGGGTAAAGGGAACAGGAATAAGAAAATACAAAACAATTTTAAAACTAATTATTTGCTTATAGCTTAATATGGAAGGCTATAAAAAAATTTAGATGGGTATGTGTTTAATCACTTTGTTGCTTACAATTAAGCCATCAAGATACAAAAATGAAAAATTTTCCACATTAACATGTTAATTTTACTTATGGTTTAGATATTAAGCTATCCAGATTTACAATGTTGCAATGGTTAAATAAAATCTCTATAAAACATGAATGAAGTCCTGTTTTGAGCTTTAGTCCATGTTCTATGGTCCCTTTCGTCAGTACCATGGCTCTATTTCTGCCTAAGCCCCAAGTGGCCATGCTAGCAGCCAGCCACTATCGATTTCCTGTGACCGATGCCATTCCTGAGATCTTCGCCCATTTCCGTTGGAGGGTTGGGACTGTAAGAGCTTGATGCCACCTCTGTCACACATCTCGCCCTGAAGCAAACAGGGATTCACACTGCTTTAGTAATGTTGACTCCCAAGAACCCAAGAAAGTCAATTAATAATCCACCAGTCCAACCTAAACATTTCCTACTTCCATACCTGTTTACATGGAATTACATCCATGTTAAACTAAGACATAAGAATCTTAACATTAAAATAGAAAGTAGCTTGTCAAGAGTATATGCATTACGAAACTACATTATTTACAGCTATCAAGAATTCATCCAAATTGGTACCACATGGTCGTGCTATACACTCAAAAAACAAATGCATTATTTTTAAAAGGTTTAGTGCAATGTTTAAAGTTTGATCACATCAGCTATGAGTATAATTGCTAATTTACAAAGCTTACAGTTTGTGACACAAGTGATAATGCATGCATGCTGCTAGTTTCACCACCAACTGGTGAAAGAATGAAAAGACAGTTTACTTTATTGTGATACTGAAACGGGTCAAAGTCTATCTTTATTAGCCAAAATAATTCCTTTGTAGTTTTTAGTGTGAAATACTATGGCAGGGCCTAATTGAAAATAAAACAATATGGAGAACAGTAAAACAGTCATCAAGTGACTCTAAGCTGTGATACTGCCTCTTGTTTTAAAAGAAATTTTTTTTCTATTCAGGGATCCAAGAATTTTAATAATTATTAACTGAGCAGCAGATCGCCACCTGCCTGTTTGAAGATTTACTGTCACCAGTCTTGTATGTTTTTAAATCTCACCCATTTCTTCTTATGAGACTTATTAAAAGATTTACTTGCCACAGACTGGTTATGCTTTATTATTCTTGGACCCCTGCTGTTTTCCCAAACCACTACATTCACCTTTTTGCTATACCAAACTGGAGCTGGTAATTCTTAGTTGAGTCATTTTACCTAGGGGACCACGGTACAGCGATAAGTCACTCAATTACTACCTTATGATTGACAGTTCACACTGGAATCAAAGGTGAATTCATGGGAGTAGAGGTGAGATATCGTTAGGCAAGTCTACAAAGAGAGATAGATGGGCATTTATTCATCACGCTGAAGTGAAACTACTGCACAATATTATTACATCAATAGCATATATTTACTTTTGTAAGTTACATGTAATGCATCTCTGATAAGATAAATCAAGAGGGCTCCGGGGAGGTTAGTTTACATTTCAGCAGTAGTTTCGTGAATAATGCTAAATTAAGAAATATAGAAACCTCACCGACATGTTTTTTCTCACCTTCTTGTACGGAGCCTCAAGCATTGCTTCAATATCAATATCGTCTGCCATTTTCTCTAAACACCTAGGAAAAAACAAAATTCTGTGAGTACACATTTTCTCGATTGTGTGTGTTTTAAACCAACGCACTGCGAAACTTCAGAAAAACCCTTCCAAAGCCCTACAACGAACGACGCACTTTAAAGGCTTGGATTGTGTAAGTGAATCTCAAGCGCCTCTTAAACGAAACACATGAAAATACAGACGCTAATGTCTTATTTCAAAAAGCCTACAATGAAGTCCAGAAACAAAACCTGCGAGGCTCCAGCGAGAGCGCCCTTTCCGCGCAAACCCCGCGCTGCCATTTTAGGGGCAAAGGGAAACTCCCTCTGCTGGGAGGGGTTGTGTGCCAAGGCAGCGTTCGCCTGGCGCCATGTTGGGAGGTCGCGGCCGACCCGGGCCTCGAAGGGACAGGTCGCCATCTGCCCGAGGCCTCTCTAGGGTCGTGACCACCCCCAAAATCCTGACTCTCCCCGAAAGGAAAAGGGCGCGGTGGCCAAAACGTAGGTTCCTCAAGACCTGTATCCCGACTCACACCCTCCCCCCCCCCCCCCCCCGTCGCTAAAAAGAGTATCCCTCAGCCCAGCAGACAACCAAACCTCGAAAAAGCTCGGACTGCTGGCAAGTCCGCCACGCCTCCGTACCTGTGCGGGCTTTCGGGCGCCTGTGCTGCTCGTATTCGGGAAGGGGCTGCTGCTGCTTCTGATGCTGCCGCCGCCGCTGCTGCTACTTTAAGCCCCTAGGCCCAGGCCGCGGTACCGCCCAGCCCGAATATCGGGCTCCGAGGGCGGCTAGGCCCGAGCGAATCTAAAAGAAACAATGGGATTAGAGGAGCCCGCGAGGGAGAGCAGGACGGCGGCCTCGGCAGCTCAGGATCCACCCCTGCGACAGCGTCGGCAAGCTCCCTGAAATGGCGGCTGCTGCTTCCCCGTACTCACATTCACCAACACACATACACACACAAACACACGGGGCTTCACAGAGCCTTCAGCACGGGCTCTCGCGAGAAACAGCACTGAGTTCCAGCCCGGAGAGGCGTAAATATCGCGAGATCTAAGTATGGGCCCCAGTGACCATGGCCCAATCTCGCGCAATGATTGCGCCACAGACGTTCCCATCCCCCATTCGGAGGGGTGTTTGACTGCCCCCTCCTGCTAGGAGCGCACAGTCTCGCGAGACAGCGCAAGTCTCTGGCGCAAAGACCGTTGGTGCACTCTCTGTCAGTCTTGCCGAGGACTCAAAGCTGAGTGGCTGGCTGCGCTCGCCCCGTCCTCGTGGCGCCTCCTCGCAGCCCTCAGAAGATTTCCCCCGCAGAGCCAACCGCCCTCCCCCCCCACCCCCGCCTCCCACCCAGATGGCTGTCAAGGTCGCCATAAAGCAACCTATTGCACAGGGCGATAGGATAAAACCATGATATTGACTGTATCCGCCGAGGGTGAAGACGGAGGGAAAGGCGTGTAAGAGAGAAGGGGGGAAGAGACCGTCCAGTAGTAGGGGACTAGCGGTGTAGAATAAAAAGGAGATTTCTCTGCCTTTTGGAACCAGTGAGCTAGGCGTCGCCCCGGATTTAGGCTTCGAAACACCCTTGGAAAGAGGAAAGCAGAGAGAACTTGAAAAAAAAAATCAGATTCTGTTTACCTTGGTGGATCAGCTATTGGGCCGCGGAATTTAGTTTGGTCTTGTGTCAGGGTCTCTGCTGTTTCTTCAGAACTGACCCCTTTTCCCCAGGACCTGGCTCCTAGCCCCTGAAGCCTGGCAGTTAAAGCGTCAACTCGCCCCTTGTTCTTTAGTCACTACTGTGAAAAAAAAAAAAAACAGGACCGGGGTCACCGACTAAGGGCTTTTTCCTCACAGATAAAAATGAAAAGAATAAAATGGTAGTGCCATCAAAGCAAAAACCTTACATGAGCCTAACAATAAAGGTAAAAAGATTCTGAATGAGGCACCTTGGTTCATGAACGCTGCTGCAATGCTGTGTGACCTTGGACAGGAAAATTAACAGTTCAAAGTAGATCTTTCATTTCCTCCTATGGGGGGGGGGGGGTTGTAATATAATTAGTAGCTGGGCTAAGCTTCTTGAGACTAACCAGGGCAGTCAGTAATGCTTACTAACTTCCCAGATCTTAGCAGGGGAAAACCTAGCCAAGTGGATGTTCAATAAATGATACAGTATTTGTAACATGCCTGGCCAGTATTTAGTTCTCAAGAAAGTTAACTGTAATTATTGCTAGACAAAGTTATTAAGAGAAAATGTATTGCACTGCATTGTAATGGGTTTTGGTGCTACTCTCTGATGTCAGCATCTCATATCAGATCACTGGTTCAAATCCCACCTTCTCCACTTCTAATCCAGCTGCCTGCTGATGCAATCAGGAAGGCAGCAGATGACAGTAAGTATGTAGCAGACAATCAAGAACACCAGTTAAAGAATGCAATTTCTAAAACAAAAGCACTTTTTATATTTAAAAGAAAATATCAAAAAGTAACACCTGGGCCAGCGCCGCGGCTCACTAGGCTAATCCTCCGCCTAGCGGCGCCGGCACACCGGGTTCTAGTCCCGGTCGGGGCGCCGGATTCTGTCCCGGTTGCCCCTCTTCCAGGCCAGCCCTCTGCTGTGGCCAGGGAGTGCAGTGGAGGATGGCCCAGGTGCTTGGGCCCTGCACCCCATGGGAGACCAGGAAAAGCACCTGGCTCCTGGCTCCTGCCATCGGATCAGCGCGGTGCGCCGGCCGCAGCGCGCCAACCGCGGTGGCCATTGGAGGGTGAACCAACGGCAAAGGAAGACCTTTCTCTCTGTCTCTCTCTCTCACTGTCCACTCTGCCTGTCAAAAAAAAAAATAAATAAATAAATTAAATAAATAAATAAATAAATAAATAAAAGTAACACCTTTTTAAAAAACCGTATTTATTTGAAAGGTACAGTTACAGAGAAGGAGAGGCAGAGGCACATAGAGAGAGAGAGAGATCTTCCATCCACTGGTTCACTCCCCAAATGGCCTCAATGGCCAGGGCTGGGCCAGACTGAAGCCAGGAGCCAGGAACTTCAGCCCTTGTAGGTGCAGGAGCCCAAGCATATGGGATGCCAATGCTGCAGACAGGGACTTAACCTGCTATGCCACAACACTGGCCCCTACACTATTCAGTACTTCACAGTACTTTGTAAAACCTCTGTCATTTTGCTCATGGGCTTTTATGTAAATTAATTTCCCTTTTAACATGTTGTTCTTAAGTCTTTGCAGCAAAATGTCATTGACCATCTCTAGGATCGTTATTCTGTTTTTTATCTCAGGCCACAGCATAACCACAGGGCCTGGGAGATAGGTAATGATCTAATACTTAGAGGATTTGGCTGAAAATTATATTTTATGTCCATGTATGATTTTTATGGACAGAAAAATGCTATTTTTGTTGCATGCACTTTTTAAATCATAATCAAATATTTATTTTAAAAGGCAGGTAAAATTTTTTAATCACCTTCACTAATAATTAAGTTCAAATTGAACAGATTAATCTCTCTTTAAATCATCAGTTCCTTTTATAAGTTGAATTTCCTCAATCTTATTTTCATTGTAGTTGAAAGAGATAAAGAGAAGTATTTTCTCTTCTTAATCAGTCCCCAAATGCCTGCAACAGCCAGCACTGAGCCAGACCAAAGCTAGGAGTCTAGAACTCAGTCTAGATCTTCCACTTGGGTGGGATTCAAGTACCTAAGTTATCATCTGCTGCCTCTCAGGGTATGCTTAGCAGAAAATTAGAATTCCAAGCAGAGCTGGGACTGGAACCCAGGTGCTATAGTGGGTGTACTGGCCTCCCAAGGGGTGGTCTTAACCACTGTGCCCACCCCAAATTTCCTCAACTTTTGTATGTGTGTATCAATTTGACATTTTATTATTTCTGAGCACTTTAAAACCTCTGCAGATATGTAGATAATTCTAAATCCAAGAAGTTAAGATCACAAATACCATGAGTCTTAAATTTTCTTTGAGTATTCTAATGTAATATCTTATACCTTCCCATTTAAAATCACAGACCTCAAGTCACTTACTTAAATGCCTTTTTTGGTTAGAATCTATAATATGCCAAATTCTTTAACCATTACAATATAGATGCAAATATACACAGAGGTAGGTGTGTGGTGAAACAGGATAAGCCACTTTTAGGGACACATACATATCAGAGCTATGGTTCCAGTTCCTACTACTCTGCTTCCCATCTGTCTTCCAGCCAATGTTCTTTGGAAGCAGAGATAATGGCTCAAGCACTTAAATACTGATGACCCACATGGGAGACTCAGGTGGAATTCCTGGCTCCTGGCTTCAGCTTGGCCAAGCTCCAGCTACTGCAGCCATTTAGAGACTGAATCAGTGGAAGTTCTATATATATAATTTTGTGTATATTTATATAAATAAATATGCAAAGCATTTCTAAGCTCAATATGAAACTGTTGAGACTTTATCTCTGTATTTAAATTTAAACCTTCCTTGGATAAAGAGACATCCATTAGGAGAAGGGTTTTATTGTTGTTATTATTTAAATATTTATTTGAAAGGCAGAGTTATAGAGAGAAAGAAAAAGAGAGAGGGAGGGAGAGAGGCAGGGAGGGAGAGAGGGGGAGAGAGAGAGAGAGAAAGAGAGACTCTTTCCATCTGCTGGTTCACTCCCCAGATGACCACAACAGCCAAGGCTGGGCCGGGCTGAAGCCAGGAGCCAGGAGCTTCTTCTGGGTCTCCCACGTGGGTGCAAGGGCCTAAGTACTTGGACCATCCTCAAATGCTTTCCTAGGTGCATTAGTAGGGAGCTGGTACAAAAGTTGGGCAGCTGGGACTAGAACTGGCACCCATGTGGGATGCTGGAACTGTAGGCTGCAGCTTAGCCTGCTATGCCACAGTGTAAGCCACAGGGTTTTATATCTTAAAATTTTTAAAGTTAGCATACTAGGAGAATTCAGGCACTACCTTAAAGGACTAAGGTTGCTTATTGGCCAATTTTTGAGGTAGACCACTTTCATGATTACATAGTCTAGCTGCTACACTTTAGCAATTCTTTTTTAGTTGCTAATGGACACAATGAGTCCCCCCCCCCTTCTTAAAATCAAAGTCACCAGGACAAGAGGAAACTTAACCCCATTTCATGTCAATGGGATTAATTTTACCACCCATTTGATCACTGTCTAATTTAAGTAGATAGATATAATTGTACTCTCCCCGCCTAGATTCTTTCTGAACTCTGCTATCTTATCAATTTACTTCCTGATTAAATTTCACATTTGTATTTGTTTCAAATACTTGCCTATTGGTCCCAGACTTAGGGCATTCTAGTGACATAGACCAAAGGAATTTACATACATTTGTGACATCCACAGTCCTTGAAAAAGAGTGTTTCAGAAGCACTTCCTAACCACTGATGTGAGGTTGATATCATGGAAAACACTTTGAAAATGACTTTGGTTTTCCTGTCAAAGAATTGTGTTCCCCAAACTCAATATACAGTTTTTTTTTTTCCTTTAGGTATTTATTCATTTGTTTTGAAAGTTAGGAGAACAGGGGCCGGTGCTGTGGCGCAGCGGCTTAACACCCTGGCCTGAAGCACCGGCATCCCATATGGGCGCTGGTTCAAGATTCGGCTGCTCCACTTCTGATCCAGCTCTCTGTTTTGGCCTGGGAGGGCAGTAGGAGATGGCCCAAGTCCTTGGGCCCCTCGCCCACATGGGAGGCCCGGAAGAAGCTCCTGGCATCAGATCAGCTCAGCTCCAGCTGTTGTGGCCAATTGGGGAGTAAACCAGCAGATGGAAGACCTCTCTCTCTCTCTCTCTCTCTGCCTCTCCTCTCTCTGTGTAACTCTTTCAAATAAATAAATAAATAAATCTTTAAAAAAAAAAAAAAAAAAGAAAGTTAGGAGAACAGAGAGAGAGATCTTCCATCTGCTGCTAGTTCATTCCCCAGACAACTGCAACAGCCGAAT